TTTAAGAAAGATTAGAAAAATGTTTATTTTAATGTATATCGGCTGATGATGATGCAAAAGAATTGAAATCAGTAGAGAAGTTTAAATGTAACATCTCGAAACATAAGTATTACTATTACAAACTAATAAGAGCGAAACATTTTTGGTAGTTCATTAAGCCTCTAAGAGGTATTGGAACCAATTAACTTTATTGAAAGTATTTGCTAAACTTCCGTCATCCATAGCTCGTTTTGTTGATTATTAGCATTAATGAGTATATAATTGAATGAGTAGTAATTCTTAAACAGAATGATTACCATCATTTCTGTTAATTAATAAAGCTTCATCAAATTTCATATTAGCTTATTGAAAAAATCCGAAGTATCCAAATAAAACCTTATATCAGTTTTCTCAAATTCACTTTAGTTTATCAATCTCACAAAACTGCATCATATACAGTATGTCCCCGGATTGAGTTACAAAGAGGGAAAAAAATGCGTCGGATATGTTCAAACCACTAAGGTCCATTACTACCACCTTTTAGTTAAATTTATCTTATAGATCAACCCATCTACTAGCCAAGCAGAGCGTGTAAAATAGCCGTAACCATGGTAATAATCCTTTAGATAGCTTAACCAGAAGATGGTAGTAACGAGCCTAAATCGCACGAACTTTATATTCTAACTATAGAAGTTAACTAATTATTCCCATTTTTATGTAAAAATTAAACTTTTCCTATATTAAAAATTTTTCAAGTTCAATTTACAATATGTAACCATAGAAACCATAAAAGTTATAACTTCCTAATTCGGCACACATTTGAAGACGAGTTCTAAATTCTTTATAAGTATTACGAAATTCCGCCAGTGGTAGAAATTCGCATTAATTATTCTTAGTTTTAATAGTTATGCATCATCTTGTAATGGTTCATTGTAAACAATTTGTTTCAATCATCCTAAAAAATTGAACTTGAAAAATTGACAATTTAGAAAAAAGTCCAATTTTTACATAAAAATGGGAATAATTAGTTAACTTTTATAGTTAGAGTATAAAATTCATGCGATTTAGTAGTTTGAACATATCAGACGCATTATTTATGCTGAGATAAGTTTGAAAAATCAGTAACAAAAATTTTTTTCCTCTTTGTAACTCGATCCGGGGACATACTGTATTTACATATCTTGCCGATGTCACTGCAACTCAAACTTTAAATAAGCGGGTAATAACCTTAAGATCATTTAATTGCAACAAGTCTTAGCAACGATACTACAATTACATTGTTTGTTAATACTGGCTTGTATACAGAGAACTTCACTTAAAATGCAATACTAACACTAGACCTAGAACTAGAAAGTATCGGGTTTAGCCGTACGTCTGAAGACGTAATTTTAAGTCTAGTGTTAGTTCTAGTTTTATACTAGCACTATCATTAGAACTAACACAAGACCTAGAACTAGAATCATTCGGGTTTAGCCATCTTGAAAGACGTGCGGCTAAACCCGAATGTTTCTAGTTCTAGGTCTAGTTCTAGGTATAGATTCTAATAGATTCAAGAAATGGTTTCCTGGCAATTTCGCGTTATTCCGAATTAGTCTGTAATAGTAAAATTTTGTCATGATACTAATAATTTTGGATTAAGGACCATACTTAACCGTTAATCGGCTAAGGATAGCTACGGATTTCTTAGTTCTGTCAGAAATATAATAATTCACCGGAAATAAGAGGTCATCTCATCGTTATTAAACCATTATGTTAATAGGAGTAATGAAAATTGAATAGGAGTAAATTCCAGATCATTGGAGGTGGATTCCAGATAACATTAGTGTCAAAATGAAAAGTAATAAAGGTTTCTACACTTGAATAGTGGTGGGTACTTTGCAGCACTAGTGATTATAAGAAATCAAATAATCATTTTGTTACCAGAACTGATAATGATATGAACCATGATTTGAATTTCAACACCGTAATAGTTATAAAGACATATTGACTCATTTTGAAAGTGAAAGATTTTGAGAAGTGATTAGAGCATTCGTAAGCCGTGGTAACTAGTTTAATGGGATCCATACGAAAAAAATAAAAATTGTAGTTAAATATGATTGGGAAGAATCACTTAAATTATTAAAATCAAGTCAATTCTGCCATAAAATATTAATAGCTATTTGGAAAAATTAAGAGATCATGAGACAACAATTATTTTCAATATTTTATGCATTTGATGCATTTAGATAAATACAAAATAATTGAACATTAATCCCTTGATAGCGAAGTTTCACTTTTATCTTACTTTTTATTCTATGGCAGAATCAATAAATCATCCAAATGGTACACTCCTATTTTATTCCATAATATCTCTGATGTGAACATTCCGAAAATATTCATACAATGATTTGCGTGTAATTTGTATTTCGAAAAGCATTGTTCTTGTTGGAACTTCGTTGTTCCTTGTTAAATATGCAAAAGAAGTATCAACGTGAGAGTTGTATTCTTCCAGTTCTCTTCCATGTGCTTTTCCAGCTTTATACAGGTTTCCCAAAACTCCCGGGTCGGAGCTATAAGTTTTGAACAAATGAAGAACAAAATTTGAAAATTTGGGAATCACTAAAGAGTCATAAAAGCTACATTCTTAGATAGTTTAGAGCTTCCATGCAATGTGGAGTTTTTTTAGGGTTTTTTTAGAGTTTTACCTTATTTTAAAGGTAATGAAAAAAGAAACACAACCCTATAAACCAAAACCCGATATGTTAATTCTTTCAAGAATTATAAGGGGTTGACTACCAAATGGGAAAATAAAATGTTTTCATGCTTTTTTGCACTTTTATTACGATTTTTATAACAAATGTTCAAATTGTCAACCTTCTTCGGTCTCGCAATAACCCAAACGCACATAGATGGAATTTTGAACCATCAAGAGCATATCCCAACTGATATTGGTGGTTCTTCATGTATGCGATTTTCAAAATCATTGAATAATTCTGGTTTTGTTGCATACACTCTGCTTTTCAGAAATCCCCAAAAGAAAAAATCGAGTGGTGTTAGATCAGGAGACCGTGGTGGCCACTCAATGTCACCTCTACTAGCAATCCAACGGTTTCGAAACGTACGGCTTAAAAAGTCACGAACTGCGCGACTAAAATGTGGAGGACTACCATCTTGACGGAACCACTTATTATCAATACCATTAGGGCATACGGCACGAACACTTGATTTTCTAACAGATGCAGATATCTGTCTCTGTCCAAATTTCCATTAATAAAAAATAGACCAATTACATTCTCTCCCATAATACCAGCCCATACATTAATTTTCTGCCGTCTCTGAGTATAACCTTCTCTTATTAAACGTGCAATTTCGTCACTCCAATAACGACAATTGTGCCTATTAACCTTACCATTCAAGTAGAAAGTAGCCTCATCAGAGAAAACAACGTTCAAAAGAAAATTTCTGTCAACATCACATCTTTCACGTACTATTTCACAAAATTCCAACCGTCTTTCGAAATCACCTTCGTTCAATTCCCATTTTCCTATTTGATAATCAACCCCTCATAATTCTTGAAAAAATTAAGATATCGGATTTTGGTTTATGATTATGGTTTTATGATTTTGGGTTGTGTTTCTTTTTCCATTACCTTTAAAATAAGGTAAAACTCGATAAGGGTTGCTATTTAAAAATGTAGGAGTAGTCATCCCTTAAAAAAACTTTACATTGCATGAAACTTCTAAGTTCTCTTCTTTAGTGATCCCCAAATTTTCAAATTTTTTTCTTCCTATGTATATTCAATTTTGCCTTAATACATTTTTAGTTGCATTAATACTTTGCTAACGTTATACCAGCAAAGTAATTTCTCCTTTTCTAGTATTAATCCATTACGTGTTATGATCGCTAAACTGCACATCATTTTTACACATTTCATAAATTGCCTGAAAAATAAACATTAAAAATATATTACAAACAAATAATAAACATGGAATTTTTTTTTATTCATCTTGTAATTAAGATTGTTTTTAGTTAAAAGTGAATATTTAAAAATTCCTACACTAACTGTTTTGAATATAATTGTAATTTACTTTTAGTACTTGTATGAGAACTAAAGCTCACTTTGTGGAACCAAGCACTAACTTGAGTTTACTTAAAATCCCAAGTCTTTGTCAAAGACTCAAGTTTATTATAACTCTATTTATAGACTAACTCATATATTGGTAATTCAACAATATCTGTTCTGCTCAATTTTGGTATACGTAAATAGCAAACTGAAGTACTTAAAGAAATTTGGGGTTGCGCAAAAATTTAAGGACGAGTTCTAAAATGTGGCAAATATAACTTTGAAGTTTTAGATCTTAAATTCATTTGAAATCTCGTATTTATACCCCAGAATCATCAATAATAGCTCATTAAGTAAGAACTTTTCTTATGGATTCTTGAACTTATGTTTGATTTTCAGAATTTTTCAAGTGTCTAATTGACATGTTGAGGATACATTTCGTCTAAAAACTGATCTCGTTTAGAACACAATCTACACTATATTAAAAGATGTTTTTTGTGTAACAAATTATTAAAATTATGGTCCATAGAATTGGTCATTATTGCATTATTCTACTTCGCATAAAATTAGAACTAGATTTAATTTAGATGGTGACATTGACCTAATAGCACATCCTCATGTTGCATTCAAATGTGATCAAGTTTTATAAGAGATTCTCTTTCGCAATTAATCACCTTGACTTATCTGGGTTATAATCTCTTGCCATTAAGAACACCTTTAAGGCATTGCCATTATATTAAAAACTTTTTAAAATTTAACAAATAATATAATTTTTCATTTTGTAACTTACCATTATTTCACAAACGTAAGGATTTACAAAAGGATGTTGATATTGACGAAAAGGAATTAAAATAAATTTGCTAAAAAAGAAAATAAAGGAAAGGTTAAGATTATGGTTATGATTACTCATTAAAAATATTAAAACTAAATAAATCAAAAAAAACCTTTACAAAAAAGAAGTTTAAATTAACACTTCTAATTTTTTCTTCACATAAATTGTATATTTCATTATAGTAATTGCAATTAATCACAAAATACTGACACAATTTAAAACGAAAACATTATCAAAAGAAAGTATTAATTTTTATTTTTTTTGAATCTTCTTTGTGATCATATTTATTTTCCAAATCTTCTTTTTAATCTATTTCGTAATTCAACAAATCATTCTAAACGCTAATTAATGAAAAAAAAAAAAAAAAGATTTATTAATTTCTCCATCCTCGACCTGAACCTCTCCCTCTTAATCCACCTCTACCACCTCGTCCACCAAATCGATTTCCTCTTTGTCGATCTATAAAAAAAATTAATCATAAAAATTGGAATATTAATAAATAAATATAAATACCGTAATGTTGGAAATTATTACTAAATTTTCCACTTGGAGGTGTATACAATTTAACGTTATCACCACTCCGATTTGGTCTTCCTTGTTTATAGGGTGGAGCAGAACCATTTTTACTTTCGAACGTAATTGGAACATGTCTTTTTTGTGTTACATTAACTTCCGTCGTTTTTTTTAATGGACTAACTTCCGTTTTAAACGACAAGGTCACGTTACATTTGTACATAGGAGGCTGATAAAATAAATCTTTGATGATTGTGTTAATATTATCAAACATTATTGGTGAGATTTTCATAACTTTTTCGTTTTCTTCACTTAAAGTTTTTGTTTTATCCGCTTTAATCGCATTACGACACCCTTGCACTCCTCTAGAAAAATACATAAGTCTCGCACGAAATTCTTTCAATTCTTGAGGGTCGTGAGTTAAAAAATCGGGACATTGACGTGCTAATCTATGAAAAGCATATAAAAGAGCTTCCACTGAAGAAAAATCTAATGATGGTAAAGTTGTTAAAGTTGTATCTTCAGGTGGAGGTGGCATATATGTCTAAAAAAATTATTTAATATAAATTTTTTTTATAATAAAATAATAATTACTTTTATTTTGTCATAAATCTGTACAACTTGAACAGATGGATTTTCTAATTTTCCACAATGCGTCGATAATTCAGCTAATTGTCTTAGAATCATTAATTGGTATGATTCACCATCAGTAAGTTCTTTAATTTCATCCCATCTAGGTAAAGTTTGGTCACAATAATATTTCACAAATTTTGTTGATTCAATTTTTGCCTAAAAAATATTTATTTCAAAATAAATTTTTTTTATTAATTAATTAACTTACTGAAAAGAAAGGTAAAACAAACTTAACGCAAGTAACAAGTCTGTCAATATTATTAGCGTCCTTATCAAACATATCTAGATCTTGATCCATTTCAACTTGATCTGCACAAATATTAATTAATTCAATTTGTCCCGCTTGAGTATTGGCCGCTTTTGATGTTGATAAATAACCCATTATTAATACGAATTCATCTGCTGTTACATCCTAATGTTTAAAATATTATTTCTATTAGTAATTAAAGGTATAATTATAGGTTTAATGAAAAACATACTAGAATCTAACGCTAAATAACAATTAAAACTAGAACTAATACTAGGTGAGACAACATATGGCATGTGCTAATTAAATGATTTTGCGTAATATTCAATTCTTCATTCGTTACAACACAGACGAATCTTGGATCTAAGTAGATCTCAGCTAAAAATGTTTTATTAGTGTAGTTTGACGAAATTTCATATTGCAATAAAGCCTTCTTGCCAAAGGAAGATCAATTTTACTAGTTTCTGAAGGACACTCCCACCAAATATGATAAATTTTCAATTCACTTCAGACAAATGTAAGTCCTTATTTGTTCTACCACTACCTCTTTAATTGCTAGAAGACGTTCCAGCATAAGTAATGTTAAACTCCAACGTGTTGGGCAGTCTAAAATAGGTTTACGGCAGTTTATTTTATTTAAAAGGCCTAAAAATGTCTGTATTCTTAATTTCTTGCTACATGTTTATATTCATATACAGGTAATTCAAATTCTACCCCCACCATTGAGATCTCAAAAACCATAACAGATACAGAAATGGTTAATTTGGGGCAAAGTTGTGTATCTTAGAGCTCATCATTTTTCAGCTAAGTTTGTGGATCTAGCCGTTTTAATTTTTAAAATATGGCCGAAAAACAAAAATACGTGAAATCTAATAAGATATTTGTTTTTTTTTTTTCATAATTCAATGCTTTTTTAATTGAAATACATGGTGTGACATATCATTGAAATCAGAATTAATTATCCTATTTTTTGGTGTCAAAAATCAAATATGGCGTTCATAAGAAAAAATAGACCTGATGATAGTTTCACGAAAACGAAACGTCGGAGAAAATTTCTAATTGTGTCATGACATTTTTCATAAAAAGTTGCCTTAAGAATGTGTTTTTAGATTCACGAAAAAACGGAAAATAAAGAAGTTATAGGCAAAAAACGAAAAAGTTATTTTTTTTGTTTTTCGGCCATATTTTAAAAACTAAAATGGCTAGATCCAAAAACTTAGTGGAAAAATGATGAGCTCTAAGATATGCAACTTTGCCCCCATTTAACCATTTCTGTATCTCTTATGGTTTCTGAGATCCCAATGGTGGGGGTCGAATTTAAATTACCCTGTATATGGTCTTTCATCCTTCAAAGCATCATTGGTTGAATTGTTGAAACAAATTATTCTTGTTAATATCATTAACTTCCTCCTGACCATTGTCACTAAAATCAAGAAAACTCTCAATATCAGCATTATTGTCTGATGTTTCACCCATTATCAGAAGTAACAGTATAAATTTGAGAAAAAGTTAAATTATATTTCTTCAAAATTTGTTCTGTCATATCTTTAATAAATATTATTGTCCTGTGTGGCATGCTAAAAGATCTCTCATGCCTAGTGTTTTTATGCAAACTTTCGTATTTTTAATAAACTGCACATTAACTCCTAGCATAGCGCGATCTTTAGGTGTTGCTGTATCAATTTTAAATGATAATAGTTGTTGAACATACTTGCTTTCTCAGTTATAAATTTTGATATACTTGAGTGATTCAAAACAATATCAAGTTTTTTAAAAATGGGACCTGTGATTTTTTTAAAACCACTGTCTTCCAGTAAAACAAATGGTTTCCTATTTGAAAACGTAATTGTTACTGAATTAGTTTCTCAAAACTCTTGAAGTTTCATTTTCTTTGAAGAAGTGGGATAATCAAGTGGGTTTTCTAGTGATGTTCTCCCCCTCCTGCTTCCTCTACATATTGATTTGGATGTTTCCTTTGTATATGCCTCTCTTGATTAGATACATGTTTTCCCTTAATTTCTGTTTTGCAAAATTTACATACTGATTTGTCTGTACTTTTGTCACAATCAAACATTTTAAGATACTTATTTGTTTGTTTTCTTCCCATGATATCAATAAATAAATTTTTCTTTTCAATAAATAACTGCAGCCAGGCCTTAAGTCACTAAATACAATACCAGATAACCTAACAATTTAGGACCTGAGGTATTATGATATTAATCTATTTAACTTACTCAAATTTCTGTTGAAGTATTGATTACAGTTAATGTTATGTAATACAATGTCTTAACACAATGACAATATCAACTCTAGCAATGGATGTTCTGCTTGGGCTATCTCATTTGCATATAAAGTGGCTAGAACTATCATTTACAGGTTTAATATATATGTTGAGGATGAGGAGATGGTTGAGCATGTTTTATTCCACTGCCCTTAATTGTATCAGATACTGGATTTTTAGGTAGTAGTTTATCTCCAAAAGATCTGAATGATTTTCCACCAAGCAAGACATTAAGGTTCATTAAGAGCATTGGACTGCATGGTAAAATTTGATAATTTTATCTAATTATGTTTCTAGTGTTAGTTCTAATTTTAATTCCACTTTAAATTTTTAATATACACTTACATTTAAAATTTTTTTAAACTCGGCTAATATTAAATCCTCAATTTCTGGGGTAAAAATACTTTTATCCAGAGTTTTAACCTTTGTAACCAAAAATTTTAAACATTTCTCTCTAACCAAAGCATCCGATTCAGATAACTGCTTAAATATACTCTTAATAACAAGAAGGGAGTCTATTTGTAACACTTGGATTAAAGAGTTACTTGCTACATTATACTCCTGGGGATCATCAAGTTGTAATAGCTGTGATAAAACATCAGCAATTTTTCCAATGTTTTCTTTACTTTCTTTACATAAAATGGGTAAAGTTTTCATAGCCGCTATTCTTATCTACAAAATAATAAATATTAATCAGATAAAACTAATTAATTTCTTGTTAACTTACACTAGCTTGGTCATCTTCACATATATCGAATATAGCATCAATAGCTTGGAGTTGTAACGAAGGGAAATGTTTGAAAAACTTAGAGATTACCTGGGCAGCTAATTTCTTTTCTTTTTCACCTCCTTTAGTGCCCTCAATTGCTTCTAAATACTCTTGAGTGTGCTAAAAAATAATAACGCATATGATAAACGAGAAAACACTTTGAGAGGGTGGAGAAACCAACCTGCGTTATGTTATCCTTCGCTTGGGAAAGCGTGTTGTAAATATCGTACAACTTATCAAACGTTACCTCACCCATTCTGATGATTCGATTTAACCGTTTTATTAACGTATCATCAAAACAAATCGGTTTTATTAACAAATCTTTACGATAACAAACACGAACGTATTAAAACGCGAACATGCGTCTAAAGTTTGGTCGATAAAAAAGGAATTTTTCAAAATGGCCCCTTACAAATTTTTAAAAACAACGAATTAATTTTCATAAATTAAGTTTTAATAAACTATTTAACTCTAAAATAAAATTATTTATAACAACACCAAAAATCATAATTAAAAGATAAATTATTAATGAAATTTAACGCGCCATCTACATGCGTTAAAATGTAACTATTTCAAACTTCACGTCGTTGAGTTTTTTTAACCGGGCTTCGATTTATTTTTATAGGTTAAGTTCCTAGACTGTCAAAAAATCACCCACATCAAAACTAAAAATGAATTTCTTAACACGGGGCATCCTAAGAAACAAGTTGGGGGTAACGAATTGGGTACAATTCTGTACAAAAAACACCAACGATAACATAAAAAACCTCGTTACGAAAAATAAAGTGGTTATTTTTATGAAAGGGGTCCCAGACTCTCCAAGATGCGGTTTTAGCAACGCTGTGGTCCAAATCTTACGTATGCATGGGGTTACTTACGATTCACACGACGTTTTACAAGATGAAACACTTCGACAAGGTTTTGGTTATAATTTAATTAAGGTTATTGGGGATTAATTCTTTTTTGCGTAGGTATTAAAGATTATTCAAATTGGCCAACAATTCCTCAAGTTTTTATTAATGGGGAGTTTGTTGGAGGTTGCGACATCCTTCTACAAATGCATCAATCTGGGGATTTAATAGATGAGCTAAAAAAAGCGGGAATTGAAAGTGCTTTACTTGGAGCAGAAGAACCTTCAAAAGAAACTAAAGAGAAAAATAAATAAATGAAAAATTTTTTTTTGGGGAGATTTTAGATTTAGAGTTTGTTTTTTATGTAAATATTGTTATTAAATAAAAAAAGACATTGTTTAATTTATATCTTCTTTTGTATTTTGACATAACTGCGTTTTTCTTCACTTTTTTGCCCACTAATTGTTTGGAAGGATTGCTCCATCTTTTTCTAGGTCTTCCAATGCTTCTTAGTCCTGATGGTGTGCTCATTCCATTTCTTCTTTTTATCCAATACCCAATCATTGATGTCTATCCTGCAAGCCTGTTTGATGTTCTCATTTCTTTCTCCATTGTCATTTATTGACGGAAATTACTTCATTACCAAAAAAATCTCCCAGAATTATTATTTGTTTATTTAATATTTTGTTGTTGAAGTTTTCTTGTTTTGGATTATTGTCTTCTGGGTTATGTTATTGTTACATTAAGTTGTTGAGCCTCGCATTTTAATGATTAGTATACATAAAAGAATGAATTTATAGTGATATAATATGGTTATAATAAAGGTTATTGAAAAATCAAAAAATGTTTCAATTAGAGAGGTGAAATAACTTTTATTTGAACAACATAAATTATCTAAAACAGAACAAACTATATTTTTTTTATCTTTTATCCTCATTATTACATAGCACAACACAACCACAGCTTTTTCTTTTTGAAATATTATACAAGAAGCGAGTGGAAATTTAATTTTTCTTTTTAATTTACTTAATTACGATAATATTACAAGATTCCCAAACATTCTATAATTTGGAAATAACTAGAGTGGGGAAAAAGAAGTAAATATAAATAGGTACGAACTTCTTGGGGGATGTACCCAGAAATTATTTGCTGCTTCCCGTTTTAAGCACACACATACAGGAACCAGCAACAAATTCAATTGGCGATTTATTATTAATTAATTAATTCAAATTTATTTATAATTTAATCAATTAATAAGATTTTAAAATTTCGAGGCGCTTAATCGTGATTCTTACAAAGTTTTAAGGAGGGACAAAAAACAAACTTTGCTTTTAAAGAGTATTTAGTGTTCCTGAGTCGAAAATGTGTAAGAATTTATTAATTGAGGCCTCGAAAATTATGTATTTATTTAAAAGAAAGTTCGTATCGATTTATTTATTATTTTTAATTATTTTTCTTAATTTTGGGTGATTCAATGGCGAATGTTTTTAGAAGTTGTGCACTGTAACCCCCAAGAACGGACGCCATAATTCACAAAGATTATTTTTCTTATTTTGGGTGGGTTTCGAAAAACATGCAAATAGTTACAATAAGTACATTTTTCTTTTTCATTTTTAAGCATAGTGTCCGCTAGTTTTATTTTAAATCATTTTTTTTAAATTCTTTTTTATACGATAATTATTTTAATATCGCGAGGTTTAACCCCAATTATACAATCAATTTTTTTTCCATTTCTTTTCACCTTAAACGCCTAAGACACATGTAACACCGAGAAAAAGTATAAAGAATTTAATGCGACAATTTTATTTAATTATTTTTTTTTTGGTCTTTTTATCATTAGATTTTTTAAATTAATCGCAACGCGATTTTTTTTATTTAAACGGCAACAACAAGCACGGTTCCGACATGCAATAGTAATGTATTTTACAAAGATACTTGAAAACAAGTTTTTTTTCTTCATTTTTTTGAACAAGACAATTTTAAAATCATCCCAAAAGATCATCATCACGGCCTAATTGTTGGTTGTATAAATTTGGTCCAAGTTTAAATCCAAATTTAAAGAAACAAATCATTTTAAAATTGCCTTTTCTTTTCATTTTTATCAATTAGCTTTTAACGCTTTACATGCAACTGTTAATAGTGCTTAATTTTTTTTCCTTTAAGAAATACTGGCTAACTGATGACTTCATGTGCAATTTATAAATATTTACATCAACAGTTACATATAAGTTAAGATACGATTTGTTTTGTTCTTATTTAATTAAAAGCTTTCAAAAAATCAGATCTAAAAAGTAAGAAAAAGGAAAAACAATAAATTCAATAATATTAATTAATTAATCAATAATAATAGTAAATAACAAAAATTAAACTTGAGAAATCTTCACAAATAAAAATAAGGTACTTTAAACTTCTCTTAAATAAAAACAAATCTAAACATCCACCACCATTTTCTTATGGATATCAGTGTTTCCAACCACCGAACAAAACTCTTCAAACGAAATCTTACCATCTTCATCTTTATCAGCGAACAAAATCGTTTTATCCACAATCTGTTGAAGCTGAGTATCTTTTAAGTTATTACCAACCATCATTTTTAAGACCTACATTTTAACCCTCAAAATTTAATCGTTCTATACACCACAATAACTTACTTGAAATAATTCACCATTGGATATAAATCCATCATTATCCATGTCGTAAATTCGGAATGCAAAGCGCAACTTTGACAATTTATCACCTTTAACGCTAAATTGTGAAACTCCTTGTATAAATTCTACAACAAAAACAAAATTAATACCTTATTTATTAACCGATTACGTTCTTTTACCTCTAAAATCCACCTCTCCGTTTCCATCGGCGTCGAAGATGTCGATAACGCGTTGCACGAGCGGATTTTGTTGCAATTCCGGTAACGACATAAATTCATCGATGCTTAATGCACCAGAATTATCCAAATCTAACTTGCGGAATCGTTTTCCGAGACGTCTAATTTCGTCAGCATCAACTAAATGAAATAAGAAAAGTTGTATAAAATAAATCGGGAAAATCTAAAACGAATATGTAATATACAGTGTGATTCGGGTGGAAATTGAAATGTTTTAAGAACATGTCCAGGAAGCAAAAATGATTCTTCATCCATCTCCAAAGACAAAAATCTGGGGGAGTGAGATCCAGTGATCTTGGAGGCCAAGGGTATGAGCCTCCTCTGCTAATCCAGCGATCGCTGAAATAGGTATTTAGAAAATTTCTCACATTATTTGAATAATGAGGTCTAAATGGTCTTAATAACATTCCTCAGTAAGTAGGCCATTCAATACATAGCGACATGACTGGAAACTTTATAAAGGAAAATTAGAGGAGTTCAAAAAAAAGCGTTCGTCATAGAAAACGAAAAACGTGGAGGAAATTTTCTCCTGCAGCGAAATTTCTCGGCCAGATCGGGTTCTGGCTTCAGACCGTGAACGACGAATTGGCTTACTAAAAAAAACGTTTAACTTATTAATGGAGGTGCATTTTTCAGGTTCCGGAAGTTCCGTGTACAGGACACCAACCATGAACCTATTGCAGATGATGGGATTTCAGCCGAAGAGATCTGCAAGGAGGAAAAAATACGGTGGGCTATCAACAGTTTCAAAACACCAGGACCAGACGGTATTATCCGTTTGATAAAACAACTTTCTCTGGTATTAACGATGCATAATATTCCACCGACTCTTCGTGGTTGGATTGAGAACACCCTTAAACATAGGATAGTTAAGCTTAGGGCTGGCGATGTCAGTCTCCAAGGAGGAGTTAGCCTCTTGAAACGCCTCGCTGAAGCTAACTTTACTACAGTGGGTTACGCAGATGATTTAACCATTCTCGTCAAAGGTAAGTACATAAACGTGCTTTTTGATAGGATGCAAGTAATTCTCAAATTAATAGAGACTTGGTATGACGAACAAAGACTCTCTTAATCCTAAGAAGACAGAGTTGATTCTTTTCACATGGGTGAAGAAGTTTGGCAAGCCCAGACTGCCACCCCTTGCTAATACTCCATTGGTGTTGTCAAAAGAAGTCAAATATCTGGGCATCACATTTGACAATAAAATGACATGGAGAGCCCACCTAGATAATAGAGTAAAAAGATCTTAATGGATAATCGCCTTCTTGGAGATTTTGCACTTTTTGCAGATGAAAAGCGTCCTTTTAATGTTTTCCAAACTATTGTTTGTGAAATTCAAATTGGATTGCCATGCGCCTTGTACTTATCCCTGGATTATTTTCTACAACATCCAGAATATCTTCTACAAGTTCCAAACCGAGCCTTTGCTGTTTTTCAGAAACAATACGTGCACTTGGAAAAATTCCAGTTTCCAAAAAAAATTTGAACCACTTGCCTATTAGGAATTCTTTGATTCGGCAAACGACGTCGATACTCTTCTACTGAACGAACAGTATTACCATTACTTCTTTTGCTTTTTATTGGAGATCTGTCGCTCTGTTAATTCTGAGGTCGTTGCCTTTGAGTAATTTCCTGAGATGTTAATTTCCAGCTGTTCCATCTCTTTGGGGGTCTCTCAGGTGGTCTTGAACGGGGAGGGGGGGTTATTTACAAGCACAATTTTCGGAAGTCTATCATCGCTCATACGCCTCACGTGATTATCCCATTATCTTTTCCGCTCTTTTCCCCATCTCACTATGTCTACAACGTTGCATTGATCTCTAATATTCGAATTTCTCACTCTCTCCATTCTCGTTTTCCCTACAATTGATCTTAGTGGCTTCATCTCGGCCACTCATAGCGTGATCGTGGTTTTGTTTGTTTCTGCCCTCAATAATAATAATAATAATGCCTTTATTATGATTTATGCCTTTATTTCTTTACTTCTATTCGATATATCATTATCGGTCTTATACACGCCTTGTGTATCCGAACTTTGCTGTATATTCAGATTGTGTATTTTAAGCATCCTGATATTGCGGATGCTTTATTAATTTGGTTCCTCAAGTCTTTCACTGGATCATGACCAGATAAATAGTTGTACTGTATGACTTGTTCTATTGACTTGTCATCGTTTGCGAGTTTACGTCTGATTGGATCTTTTGCAGTAGTCATGGACTTGGTTTTATCAATGGCGATAGCCATATTAAGCTTGCAGCTTACTTCAAAGAAGTGTCTTCTGTTCCTGCGACTATTGCAGCAGTAGAACTACAAAATCTCTCCCGAATTCCTCCCAGGGTGTCAATAGCATCCATTACTTGCTATGTTGGCTGGCGCTTTGTTTTCTTTTAAGATATTTATGATGCAGATTTGTCAAACTCGATGGTCTTTTCTTTTATCTGTTTGATTAAGAATACTGCATCCATTACAGAAACCTTATTGTTCTTCAGCGTCAATTATTTAGTTTTCAAGCTTTTCCTTGACAAATGCTTGAGTATAATTTCATGGAAGTGTTTAGCAGTGATAAATAGCTTTAATGCTCATGTACAATTTAATATCGAATTGGAGAAAGATAATAGCACCATCGCGTTTGATTGGTATAACAAACCCACTTTTTCAGGTAGATACATTCACTTTAGTTCTTATCATCAAAGTTAACACTGTATTTGCAATGAAACATAAGAACATTAGCATTTCAGAAGCTCATTTGACACAAACTTAGGTAATTCATATACCCTTAGATTGCTTAACAAATGACTTTTCAACCCTACAACTAACAATTTCAATGAAGGTGTTCAGCCACAAACTAATGAATGTATAGCAGGAGATTGATTTACATTCCTGAATTGACTAATAAATTAATAAAAATTCAAAACTACTTGGGTAAATAACAACTTCAAAATAGTAGAGTATTATCCTTTCAAACTCGATGTTGAAAGATAAAATTCCCTTTGAATATCAATGTAATGTCATTTATTGTGTATATTGTGGTTCTTATAACCAATGTTATGTTGATCAAACTGGCCAATGATTAAAAAACAGAAATCAACACAAAGGTGATGTTACAAATTTAAAAAGATAATGTGCTTTAGCACAACATAGCTTGGATACTGATCACTTATTTAATGTTAAGGAGAGTAAGGTTTTAGATAGGGAAGATGATTATCATAAACGCTTATTTCTTGAAATGTTTCACATTGTAAACAGTCAATTTTAGGACTAATGTCAACTCCTTGAGCATAATTTATTCTTTAATTTTTGAGATTTACATCAAAAATATTTCGAGCTTTGACCCTCAACCTTCTGATTCATTTTTGCTAATTATTTTATTGCTTTTGGTGTAATTTCTGGTTAAAAAAAAATTTTTTTTTGAACACGTGCTTTTTGAAAACTTGTTTTATTTTTTGTTGACCTTTGTGGTTCTCACATGGCTTTAAGATGTGCCTTGTGGCTGATTTTTAATACTTTTTCGCTGTTTCAAGCACAATTTGTAAGTTTTTTGTAATGTTTTATAACTAGTTTAACTTGAATTGTAGAAATTCAAGCACTGAAGAAGCTTCAATACAAAAGCGAAATATTGGCATATGAAACAATAATTGCGTTTCAATCCTATCCTGGAAAATAAATTTATTGTTCAAGGTGTTAATGGGATTAAAGAAAAAAAATCTCCTGCTTAAGATATTCTTTTGTCCTTGCTTAAATATTGGAATGGTGATACTGTTATGCCATTCATCTGGTACTTTTGAATCAAAAAGAATCTTGTTAAACATTTTTATCAATTTCTGTACCAGCTTATCCCCTCAGTACTTTAACAACTCATTGGATATGTTATCAGTTCCACACAACTTTCTATTCTTTAATTTCAAAATTTTGGCTTCAACATCCTCTTCACATATTTTCTTACATCAGTCAGTTAGAGAATCTCTTTACCTGTTTTTTCCATTTCCTCAGCATCTTTCACACCTTCCTTTGCGCTCCATACAGATTGTAAGTCATATCACACGTAAAGTTTATCCAGAATTCTCTTTTAATAGTTTTTATTCTCATTACCATAAACAAGCACCATCTCTGCATATTCTTTAAGACTGAAAATGTGAGGTATTTTTATAATCTCATAAAACAACTCAAATTGTCATTTAGAAGAATGATGTCAAATTTAATTTGAATAACTTTTTAAAAAGAAAAACCTAATTATCTCTGAAACAAATAAAAATCAGACTTCAACATATATTATTCATTATTTTTGCTTCCTTGATATGTCCTTCAAAAAATTCCATTTCCTCCCTAATCACCCTGTATAACATAAATCATGTAAGCAAACAATCATGAATCTGAGAGATCATATTTAGATTTCCAACTATTTGAACTTAAATTTCTACAAAGAGAGTCATTTAGAAACATTTATATAGGCTTCAGTTATAGTTAAAGGGTTAAATGTCAAAAAAAATTGACATAACCCAACTTTTTTTAAGGTTATTTTTCTTCACACCAAAGTTATTGATTTAAACCCATTTTACTCATTGTATTAAACACGCAAATCTATATAATTTACATTTCTAATAATTAATTTGAAAAAGCAACGAAATAATTTAAAAAAATCTCTTAATAAAAATATAAATCCTTTGGAATAATATTAATTCGATTAACCCACATATTAAATCTAATTAACCTAAATTTGACCACAAAACAAAACGAGAATAATAAAACAGCTTTTTTACTTACAATTAGAGCAAAGCTCCATAGGTAGTGAACTTTCATTTCCCTGAAAAAATAAATTATTATTTTAATTCGATACATGTTATTTTAATTAACAAATTAATGTTTTTAATTTATTGGGCTAAAGATAAAAATGGGTTTGCCCCTTTAAAGTAGGCTAAAATTGAAACACAAAATCCGGGCACCAATACAACAAACGGCGTGAATTGAGGGATACGCGATGGGGGGAGATTAAAAAAATCTATTAAAACCTTTCTAAAACGTAATAAGAAACTATATTTACCATGGTTTGCGGTTTTGTATCGTCTTTTTTCAGTCGGATTAACGATTAATAAATCGAAAAAGTGTTGTACAGGATAAGTCTAGCGCAGTAAAGACGACAAACAATCCGCCGGCCACGTTCAGAAATTGCGCAAATGCTGCGTTACCGATTTTACGACGATTTCGCAAATGAAACGGCGAACAATAAATATACTATAAATAACGATTGCGGGATTTGTCGTCCGAACGACTTTTTATGAACAGTCAGGCCGCGAGCCAAATTATACAACTTTTTTTTGTAATGCAATTTATTCGCATTGCCAGAACGGTTCCTGAACGGAAACACAACATTAGGCGTGGAAGTAACGATTTGACAACATAGTTATGTTTATGTTTAGGATGAGGTCGATTAATACTTTTGAATTTATGTATTTAAAATAAAAATGATAAAAAAATTAATACAAAAACGTGAAATGAAGATATAAAAATAACATCATAGAAATATGACTTTTTTTTTAAGGATATTGAGATAATAAAAAAAAGAAAGAAAGAGATAGCGATATCTTGCATTCAAAATAAGTAAGATGTAAATAATCAGGCTGTGTTGCCAATCTTCTCTATGGAGGTAAATTTAAAAATGATTTCATTTTTAAATATATATTTGTTTAAGAAATATTGTTTTTAGGAATAAAATGCATGATTAATCAAGTGTATAATTAATTAATTAAAGAGGATAATTAAAAGCAAATCAAATCGATTTTTCTATTTTAATAAACAATTTAAGGATCAAATCGATATTTCTGAGAATCTAGGGTTTTTTTTGTTTGTAACCAATGGTTGTCAAATTCGATGTCAAATCAGCATCTAAATGTTATTAAAAAGTAATTTTCAATATTAATTGGTGTGCTTATACATTTATAAAATTTAGGTTTATTATTTAACCTAAATTTTTGTTAATAAAGCATTAATTTTTTTAAGAAAACTTAAATAAATACATAAAAGTAATTGTATTGATTAGTACGGAAAGATCCGACGTTAACCGACAGCTGCCAGTGTCTCACTAACACAACAACGACGGCTCTGTAAGTGAAATTTATTGTGACTATAGACAATTTTTGTGTGCATTAATATATTGTTATAGTAGAAACGCAAGCCTTAATCACCAAATTTACCGGTAAGTTAATCGGATTGTTTTGTAAATCATGTGTAAAACGGTTTTAATTTCCTTTGTACAAAGGGCCGATTTGCACTACCATGCGTCATAAGCCGATTTTTCTAGATTTCTTTCCATTCCAAATCACCCAAACACTCAAAATATTTTAATAAACGTTATTGAAATAGTAAACCCACGTTTTACCGTTAAAATCGTTCAGAAAAACTGTCATTTCACGTTCAACATCATTTCATTTTTTTTTGACGTGTAACAATCAAGGATGATTATTTTTCTTATTTGTTCGCGTTTACACGTTTTATTTAAACATTAACTCAAACGAATTACTTCAATAACCTACTTTCCTATTTAATCTAATACAAAATACGTGTTAAAACATAAATTTTATCTTAGAAAAATCGTATTATAAAAAAAGTGTCATTTTGTTCTTAAATTTTCTTTGATTTGACTTTGTTCGTTGAAGCAACAGCACCTGCTTTGTTGCACAATGTATAAAGAAATCCTTGGTATGTGGACCTTGGATTTTCATACTCGTGTCCTACGTATTGGTCGTTGACCTTACCACTGATCTTATTGTCCTGAAAAAGATACCTAAGTTCACACAGGTATAACGGGGGATGATGGTTACCTGACTTCACGCCATTTCATTTCCGTTCATGAATCGCATAATTTTTATTTTAGAAATGAAACGCTTTTAAGAGATTGTTTGGATGATGTATGGTTTATAAATAATCATATTGAGACGTTTATTTTGTTCATTTATAGATTAATATCGTTTTGTACTCGGTTTATTGACGAATTCATTACTGCTTGTCGCCGGTGTTGCTATTTGACGGTTACTCGATACTCGATTGTTTCTTGGAAAGTGATTGTTTTTTTTGCATGCTTTGTTTGAAGTTTCGGAAAAATACATATTAGTCATATTTGTTGTTTCATTTTTTTAATATGATTAATAAATTGATATGGCGAAAAGTTGTTGGAATATTTAAAGTATTTCGATAATCTAGATTAGATTAAGGTTTTTCTGTGGCAATAAAAATGTACTTACAGTCAATGAATTACATAATCTTTTAAATTCCAGGAATATCCGAGATAATTATTGGTTTTAGTTTGAGTCATCACTATTAGGTAATTAAAAAAATCAGCAAATGTATTCAGATTTCTAATGGAAATTGCAGATTATGCAGTTTTTATGATTATTTAAGAATGATGTTTATTTTTTTCTCTTTAAAGTGTACCAAAAATAAGCACAAAGTTTAGAACATATCCAGACAACTTCAAATAAACCAAACTAATTTCGTAAATACCTCAACAATTCAGAAAGAAATTACATCTAAACTTCAATTATTATCCCCAAATTACTAAAAACTTCATCAAAACGTCATATTTTAATCGACAATTTAATACCAACCTCAAAAACAAGTATAAAATTAAACCCAATCCATGAAACTTCATTGAAACCTTAATTTTGAGCCTTGAAATTTAATATTAATAAAGAAAACTTCATCGAATTGTCGCTAAAGTTAAGAATATGAACGAAACTGTAATTTTTATTCAATGAAGTCAATCTCTATCCATGAAACTTCATGAAAAGCTTATATTTCTATAGGAAATTGAACTTCAACCTTAAAAACTTCATAAAATCATTGCCAAATTTCATAACATCGGCGCAATTTGAGAAATGTTGAAGATTAAACGAAAAAATTTTTATTGGAAAATTGAGTATAATACAAAAAGCTTCACATAAACGAAGAGCAAACTCATGAAACTTCATCAAAACCTTAATTTTGACTACAGAAATTCTAACATTAATGCAGAATTTCATTGATATCTGAAATGTTGACCAAATCTATATAAGATCAAACCTAAGCTATGGAACTTCATTTTGAGCTTTAAAATTTAATATTAATAAAAAAAACTTCATTTATATCCTAAATTTGAATAGAAAATTCAGTATAAACCAAATGAAATCACGCTCAACCGGTAAAACTTCCTCAAAAACATAATTTTGACCACAAAAATCTTAACATTACTGCAGAACTTCATTGATAACTCAAATTTTGACGCAAAATTTAATACCAACCTAAGGAACAAGTATAAGATCAAACCTAATCTATGAAACTTCATTTATATCTTAAATTTGAATGGAAAATTCAGTATAAAAGAAAACTTCAACCCTAAAAACTTCATTAAATCATTGCCAAATTTAATAACATCTCCGCAATTTGAGGTTGTATCAAAAATGTTGAAGATTAAACGAAAAAATTTCAATAAATCTTCAAGTTTTTATTGAAAAATTGAGTATAATACAAAAAACTTCATACAAAAGAAGAGTAAAGTCATGAAACTTCATCAAAACCTTAATTTTGACCACAAAATTTAACACAAACAAAGAAAACTTCATTAGAACTACAAATTGTAGCATAAAATTTCGTATGAATTGCAGAAACTTCAATGAAGTCAATCTTAATCCATGAAAATTCGTCAAAATCTTAATTTTTCACAGGATATTTAACATCAACTTCATTACAGCCTTGCCAAATTTAATGACATCGCCGAAATTTCAGTATGTGTTGAAAATATTGAATATAAATTGAAGAAAGTTCACTATAAATGAAATGAAATCACGCTCATCCTGTGGACTTCATTGATGTCTCAAATTTTGACCAAAAATTTAATACTAACCTAAGGAACATTTATAAGATAAAACTTAATCCATGAAACTTCATAGATACCTTAATTTTGAGCTTTGAAATTTAACATTAGTAAAAAAAACTTCATTAATATGTTAAATTTGAATAGAAAATTCAGTGTAAACGAAGTTAATTTCAATGAAATCACGCTCAATCCGTGAAACTTCATCAAAACCATAATTTTGGTCACAGAAATCCTAACATTAATGCAGAACTTCATTGATAACTCAAATTTGGACTGAAAATTTAATACCAACCTATGTAAGAATTATAAGATCAAACCTAATCTATGAAACTTCAACGTTTCAACGTCAAAAACATAATTTTGACCACAGAAATCCTAACATTAATGCAGAACTTCATTGATACCTCAAATTTGAATACGAAATTTAGTATGAACTAACAGAACTTCAATGAAGTCAATCCAGGAAACTTTATCAAAAACGCTTAATTTTTAACAAAAAATTAATATTAACCTAAGAAACTTCATCAAATTGTGGCTAAATTTAAGAATATGACCGAAACTGTAATTTTTATTCACTGAAGACAATCTCTAGCCATGAAACTTCATGAAAAACTTATATTTCCATAAAAAATTTAATTTCAACCTTAAAAAACTTCATTAAATCATAGCCAAATTTAGTAACATCTCCGCAATTTGAGGTTGTATCAAAAATTTCAATAATTCCTCAAATTTTTACTGAAAAATTAAGTATAAATCAAAGAACTTCATATAAATGACGAGAAACTTCATCAAAACCTTAATTTTGACCACAGAAATTTAACACTAAAAAAGAAATCTTTATTAAAACCACCACTTGTAGCAGAAAATTTAGTATGAATTGCAGAAACTTCAATGACGTCAATCTTAATCCATGAAACTTCGTCAAAATCTTAATTTTCCACGGGATATTTAACATCAACTTCCTTAAAACTTTGCCAAATTTAATGACATCGCCGAAATTTCATTTCGTCAAGAAAATATTTAACATAAATCGAAGAAACCTTATCAAAAGTTGCAATTTCATTTAAACCAAAATTGTAGCAAAAAATTTAGTATGAAATACAGAAAGTTTAATGAAGTCAATCTTAACACATGAAACTTCATCAAAATCTTGGATGTTTAACATCAACTTTAACAACTTGCTGTCCAAACTTAATGTTTTTTCGAAATTTCAGTTTGTGTTGTAAATATTTACCATAAATCGAAAAAAATTCTATAAATCCTCAAGTTTTAGCCAAATCACACAAGAAACTTCATTAAAATAAGTACGAAGGCTATCACGGCCGGAGTTAATTGAACTAAAATTAGAACTAAAACTAGAACTAACACTAGAAACTTTCGAAAACTCGAACTTCGAACCAGTTTCTGAAGAAATCTAATCAAGTTCAAGAAATGTAAACGAATTCTCTTCATTTTTAATTAACAGAAACTTCAATAATTCCCACTTCATGAACTTAACATGAATTAATTAATTCGTATCATGAAGTATCACATTAAACTGAACTTCACCTCAAATTATAGCTGAAAGTTTATATTAATCAAAGAAACTTGGTTGAAACCGATCCAACTTCATCAAAATCATGATTTTGTTTGGGAACCAAAAAACTTTCATTTCAATTTAACCAAATACATCGTCAATAAAATTTAAATATAACCACAAAGTTTATCTAGTTTACCTTGAATCTATGACCTTCAAGGCTTGCTGCAAGCAACCTTGGCCTTGAGATTAAAGATAAACTTTATCACCATGGTGATAATGAAGAAAGTTTAACATAACCTAAATTTTAAATCAATTAGTATAACTCTTTTTTTTTTTAATTTTAGGTGATCGATAGATCTCATCGGTGAATACATCGATAAAGAAGATAAATTAGGAAAAGAAATAGTCCGTTTAGGGGGAGAGAGAGAGTTTTAGTTAGAGGGATAGTGGGTGGGTCGGTGCGGAAGGCGATATTTCGGGACGCGTAAGTAAACCCACCACGACGGAGTGCCCCAGGCAGCAGGGGCCACAAGCTCGTGTTTCGGGGAAGGACGTGGTTCCCCCCGCCAAGCGACGCTGGGTCCCCCCTTCTACTTTGCGCCATCAAGATGCAAACAGTACGCCGGAGAGTCGTAACGACATCGTCTTCAGGAAGGTGCGCGGCATCCTCAACAAGCTCACTCCCGAGAAATTTCAGAAGCTGAGCGATGACCTGTTGCGCATCGAGCTGAGCTCGAGCGTTATTTTAAAGGGTGTCATTCTGTTGATTTTCGACAAGGCCCTCGACGAGCCCAAGTACTCGTCTATGTACGCACAGTTGTGCAAGAGGCTGTCTGAGGAAGCACCTAATTTCGAACCGGCTAACAGACCGTGCACCTTCCGTGTCTTACTGCTTAACAAGTGTAAGGCCGAATTTGAGAATCGAGCCGCCACTCTTGACCAGTACGGACATGGCGATAACACTCTCGAAGAGGAAGAACGTCGGCAACTCGCCAAACGGAAAATGCTTGGTAACATCAAGTTTATCGGAGAACTTGGCAAACTGGAAATACTTGCGGAAGGGATTCTTCACAGGTGTATACAAGAACTTCTTATTACAAGAAAAGGTGACGACCCATCGGAAGACTTGGAATGCCTCTGTCAAATATTACGCACTTGCGGCCGAATCTTGGACACAAACAAGGGCAAAGGGCTGATGGACCAGTACTTTGAACGGATGGCGCTTCTCGCCGAGAACCAGGAACTCGCACCGAGGATTCGTTTCATGCTGAAAGACGTGATCGATCTGCGGCAAAACGAGTGGGTGCCGCGCAAAGCGACTATCGTCGAGGGCCCGATGCCGATACACCAGATTCGGCCGACAGAGGACGACCGAGTCGGCTTCCGTAGGGACCGCAACCAAGATTACCGCTCCGATATTGACCGTTCCGGTGGACACGACATCTTCTGGAACCCGATGAAGCTGCGTAGCGGCATCGACGAGATGCTGATGAATATCAGCACGTCCGGAACCAATCTTATCCCATCCTTCGGATCGAACGGATTCGGCGGACAGAGGGACTCTGGTGGTTATAGAAGCCACAATAATCAACGAAGCGGCTACAATAACTATAATAATCAACGCGGTCAATACAAACATAACCAGAACAATACCAACTCACAATACAATAATCGTAAGTTTATTCACCCTAAAAGTTTTATGTAATAATATTATTATTTCGCAATTAGAATCTAGTAAGGATATAGCACCAAGATTTAAGAAAAACTTTATAATGACCCACAACTTTGGAGAGTTAGAACTTCGTCCAGCATCTTACTCACTCTCCAATAAACCAATAAAAAATTCGAATAATGTCATAAATAACACACGTCCCATTGATCCTTTACCACAAAGTACACCAAAACAAGCGCCTGCACCTCTTTTAAAAGAGGTCCCAATCAAACAAGTATCTACTGAAAAACCTAAACAGGCTAAAAAAGATAAGGTAATAATTTTCTTTTCATTAAGACCCACTTTTACCACCTCTTGATAAATTTATCCAATAGATAAATCCAGCTCTTAGGGCCATTACTACCATCTTTTAGATAAATTTATCTTATAAATAAACCCATCTACTAGCCAATCAAAGCGCGTAAAATAGCCGTAACCGTGGTAATAATCTCTTAGATAGCTTAACCAGAAGATGGTAGTAACGAGCCTTAGCCAATGAGAGTGCTTAAAACCGCCGTAACCATGGCAACTATCCTCTAGATATAATTTTTCTTCTTCCAATTGTTAGTAACACATTTCAAACTCCTTGTGATTTTTTTTTTTACATCCTAGTAAAGTTTCCCGATTAAAAACTCATATTGGTGTTGTTTTAAATGTTTGGGCAGATGTTGTTTTGATTCTCCTATGTAAAATTTGTTACAGTCCACACATACCAGTTGATAAATTGTATTTACCTTATCCATAGGTTTTATTTTGTCTTTCATATTAGTCATCAGATTTTGTAATTTATTTCGATTATATTGTGCGAATTTTATTTCGTTTATCTCATACTTTTTAAAAAATTTTGTTATTTTATCAGTTATTTTAGGTATATATTTGATTTGAGTAACATTGTCCATTTTTACTTGTTGTGTATTATCATTCTCGGTTGTTTGTGTGTTGTTGTTTTTCTTATTTTCATTCATGTAATTTGTAATCAAAAGTAGTTTCTTGTTTGTTTCTTATTATCAATTTTTATGTTTCTCTCTCGTAAATTATATTGATGATTTTTTTTGGTAGTTGGTTTATTATTGGTGTTATTTATATTGATGTTAAAGCGATCAACGCTTTGGTTTTCAATTTTATTATACAGGGTGATTCAAAAAACCGCTGACAGACTTCTAGAGTAGATAATACACGAAAAATTAAGATGAATTTTGTCTTATATACATGGGGGCAATAAATGTCTTAAAATACATGGGGTCGCAAATGCCTCGTTGGCGAGATATAGCGGATCAAAGTTTCTTTAAAATTAAACATTATCTGCTATAAAAAGCACTTTTTTAAAAATATTGTCTACGCCATTGCTCTCTACTCGTGTAAAGTGATCAATTATCTATCAATTGGTCTCTTACAAAACTTTGATCAAAGCAATAGTTTTTAAGAAAAACACGTTTGTAGAAAATTTGTTAATTCAATCGAAAACTGTTGCTTTAATCAAAGTTTTGTAAGAGACAAATTGATAGATAATTGATCACTTTACACGAAAATACTGCCCGTTTGACAAAATTAGTAGTGGAGTTGAAAATATTTTTAAAAAAGGGTTTTTTATTGCAGATAATATTTAATTTTAAAGAAACTTTGGCCCACTGTATCTCGTTAAGGAGGCATTTGCGACCCCATGTATATTAAGATTATTCATCTTAATTCTTGATGTATGTATTACCTACTCTAGAAGTCTGTCAGCGGTTTTTTGAATCACCCTGTATATTTTATACCAAGCTGTATTTATTAACATCTTACGATAATCATTTTCTATCAAAATATCAAAAATTTTTGTGTTTATATCTCTAATGAATGGTTTATCAGTTAATGTTATAGCTCTCCTAATTAAGTTCTCCATGGTATTCAAAATTTGTGATTTTGGATGATTACTCAAGTAATGTAATGTCTTATTGCTTGATATTTCTTTTTTATACCAAGATGTGTATATTTTATTATCACTATCATTTATCATCATTTTCAAATCTGAAAAAGGTAATTGTGATTTTTTTTTCCACTGTGAATTTCAATCTATCATTGTAGTTATTGAAGAGTGTTAATAATTGATTATATTTATTTTTCTCTGTTATTATCAACAAATCATCTATATATTTTACTAATAGTTTTGGTTTGATGTCTGTTTTCTTCAACTGTGTTTCAATTAATTTATTTAACACTATTCCACTTAGATTCACACTAAGGTTTGATCCCATTGGAAGTCCAAATGTTGGTTTATAAAAATTGTCATTGTATTTAAAATAATTGTTAAATGTACATACTTTTATCCCTTCTATCTTTTATTTTTGATTGGTGTGTGATCTTGTATTTTTTGCCAATTTTCTTCTATAACATTTATCATAAGATTTAATGGGATCTTTGTGAATAGAGATTGTACATCAAAACTCACTATATCATATTTATTAACATTTGTTAATTGTAAATCTTTTAATTTTGATTTTAATTCAATTGCATTTCTTCTTATATCATAATCGTTAGTTTGGTTTAATTTGTCTAACGATTTATTAAGAAATATTGATAAGTGATTACCATGTTGAATCGATATTATTTATGATTGGACGTAATGGAAGACTTTCTTTATGAGCTTTTAATAATCCATGTATTCTTGGTGTAATATAATGTGTAAGGGACAGCCCTAACTTTAGGTTTTTGTTTATATATCCATGTTTTTCCAATATTTTTAAATAATCATTTATTTTATTAACTAAATCGGGTCCAGGGTCTATTCTAGTTGTTTTGTATGTGTTTTTGTCATCTAAGAGAGCATTTAATTTTTTATCATAATCTGATTTGTATAAAAAGGCTATTTGTTTAGTTTTATCAATTTTAATTATTACTATGTTGCTTTAAGAATAATCTTAAAGATACTATGTCTTTATATAAATTAGCATGAAACTTTGTTGTTAATGTATTTTTGTTATGTATACATCTTTTATTGTATCTGTTTAAAAAATTGGATATTTCATTAATTATTCTTTTCTATGTCAATTATTATCATTAGAATATCTTTATTTAATTGTTTTTATCATTATTTGAGTCATAACAGAAATTTTCTCCCAATGACAATAAATTTTGTATGTTTATTGAAATAATATTATAATTTCATGTAATTGCCACAATAATTTATCTATTTAACATGAGAAATCAAAAATTATAAAAATTAGAGACATGCGGAGGAGTAGAGGTATAATACAATCAAAAACAGTTTTTTTTTCGACATTTTCGACGACTTTTACATGAAAACCAAACCGCCGAGTTTGAAATGTGTTACTAACAATCGGAAGAAGAAAAATTATATAAAATAAAAACCTGCTTTAAAAGAATATACAAAGAAATATCCTCTAGATAGTTTATCAGGAGGATGGTAAAAGTGGGTCTAAGTTAATTGAACTAATTTTGTTTATTTCAATAAATAGGGTCCAAGTAAAGATGAAGTAATCAAGAAATATATGTCATTAATAGAAAATTATTTAAAAGGTGACACATCCCTCGAAGATACAATCAGTAATTACAAAGAAAACAAAGTGCCCGATAAGTTCCTTAAAGAAGCAATTACAAACAGTTTCAAATTATCATTAGATAAAACAGACGATGATCGTACGAAACTAATAAAACTGTACGCCGCCTTAAGACAAGACAACAACATCGGGAACACCGTAATTCACGACGCTTTTAAAACACTTTGTAACGGCCTTGATGAGTGCGAAAATGAACTAACTCAAATAATGAGTTCGGTGGCTGTTATATTTTCTGCCGCCGTTGCGGAACGAGTCGCCTCATTATCAGATATAGCTAATTTGACGGATAACGGCGTTCATTATCCGCTTTTTGTACTTGTATTGCAAGAACTTTACAAAACGAAGGGTCAAACGGAGTTATACGAATTGTTTACAAACAGCAAAGTACAACTTTTATCGCAATTACCGGAAAACGATCGGACGAAAGAGCGATTGGCGGAAGTACTCGAGGAACGTGATTTAACGTTTCTTTATCCGCTCGTTCGGATACAAGCCGAGTTATCCAAACAGTTACAAGTCGATCCTAATCCTCAGGTCTTTTATAAATGGATTAAGGAAAACGTTGATTCTGTTAATTATACTAATCCCGGATTTATTAATGCACTTATGACTGTTTTGCTCAAGTATATTTCACAGGTAAATAAAATTATTTTTTGTTAATTTTTTAATTTATAATAGTTATTTAATCAACAAGTGTATTAATGAGGGCGATTAATTATCGAGATAATTAATCGCATTTTAATATACAAGTTAGTTACAATATTTTTCCGTCTTTTAAACAAAATAGAGAAAATCCATCGTTGAAAAATCACCCAATAATCTATCACTGGCAAACTTTAAGAAAGTCCGACCGAACTAATATAGTAGTCAATTTAGTAAATATTCTCGAATGAAATCTGTAATACCGACCCAACCGACCACTATATCTATTCGGTAAGACTACAATAATAAGTTTTGACTTTTGACACATTAAAAGTGAGATTAAATTTGTGTGATTTTTATATTAAAATCGTTTATTAATAGGTGTCATTAATGAATGATTTTGTATACATTTATAAATCGACGGAAAAATAAATTAAACAACCACATTATTCACCCTCTAATTTTTGATATTAACTTTGATCTGTAAAATGACATTGGGAACATTTTGCAGATCAAAGTTAATATATTGCGAATTGTATTTGAAAATGGAATAAATTTCCGAAACGTCATACAAAAAATGTAACGTTGAAATATTGTATTTCAAAAATTAGAGGTTGAATAAAGTGGTTGTCAAATGTGTCCTTTTTATTGAGAAAAACACATGGTGGTTTAATTTATTTTATAAATTAAAAAATTAATATAGAAGAATACCTCTAAAAAACAAATTGAAATTAGAAGTTATTTTTTGTAATTCGGTAATGAAATCTATTACAGTACTCGAACGGGTGCTGTAATGAGATTTTAGTAACATTTTATGGAACCAGTTCAAGTTGATAACATTGGGTCATTAATTTTTCTAGTTGTCAATGTGACAATTTGATTGAATGAGTGCTGTAAGTCTTATGAAACGTGTTTTTTATGCTATTTTTTGTAATTCGGGTTTTTATCCTTTTTTTTAAACAAAAATAAAATAAATTTTGACAATGTAGGGAAATAGGTGTATCCAGACAACTTTAAATAAACCAAACAATCAACAATTCAGAAAGAAATTACATCTAAACTTCAATTATTATCCCCAAATTAATAAAAATAATTCAAGAAACTACATCAAAACGTCATATTTTAATCGACAATTTAATACCAACCCCAAAAACAAGTATAAGATTAAACCCAATCTATGAAACTTCATCAAAACCTTAATTTTGAGCCTTGAAATTTAACATTAATAAAGAAAACTTCATCGAATTGTCGCTAAAGTTAAGAATATGAACGAAACTGTAATTTTTCTTCAATGAAGTCAATCTGTATCCATGAAACTTGATGAAAAGCTTATATTTCTATAGGAAATTGGATTTCAACCTTAAAAACTTTATTAAATCATTGCCAAATACAATAATATCTCCGAAATGTGAGGTTGTATCAAAAATGTTTAACATTAAACGAAAAAATTTCAATAAATCTTCAAGTTTTTACGGAAAAATTTAGTATAATTCAAAAAAACTTCATATAAACAGAAATTCTAACATTAATGCAGAACTTCATTGATATCTCAAATTTTGATCAAATCAATATAAGATCAAACCTAATCTAAGAAACTTCATCGAAACTTTAATTTTGAGGTTTGAAATTTAATATTAATGAAGAAAACTTCATTGATATCCTAATTTGAATAGAAAATTCAGTATAAACCAAATGAAATCACGCTCAACCGGTAANGAAGTTATTTTTTGTAATTCGGTAATGAAATCTATTACAGTACTCGAACGGGTGCTGTAATGAGATTTTAGTAACATTTTATGGAACCAGTTCAAGTTGATAACATTGGGTCATTAATTTTTCTAGTTGTCAATGTGACAATTTGATTGAATGAGTGCTGTAAGTCTTATGAAACGTGTTTTTTATGCTATTTTTTTGTAATTCGGGTTTTTATCCTTTTTTATAAACAAAAATAAAATAAATTTTGACAATGTAGGGAAATAGGTGTATCCAGACCAAGGACAGTAGAATCTAACAGGACTGCTACATCCATTGTTGTGACAACCTGCCCGCAAACTACGTCATACCATTTTCCACGCCCAGCTGTTGTTATGGTCAATGTTTACTGTGTATTATTAAAGGTTATATCCTAGACGTATTCATTATATTTTTGAAGTTTTATGTTTTTAGACGTATTAATGTCTATCATATAACCTCTAAAAACACAGACAGTTACCAGGCGTGGCAAATAGTGTGACGTAGAGTGCGGGCAACCAACCTGTAGTGGACTACAAAAATACAATGGATGTAGCAGTCCTGTTAGATTCTACTGTCCTTGTATCCAGACAACTTTAAATAAACCAAACAATCAACAATTCAGAAAGAAATTACATCTAAACTTTAATTATTATCCGCAAATTAATAAAAATAATTCAAGAAACTACATCAAATCGTCATATTTTAATCGACAATTTAATACCAACCTCAAAAACAAGTATAAGATTAAACCCAATCTACGAAACTTCACCGAAACCTTAATTTTGAGACTTGAAATTTAACATTAATAAAGAAAACTTCATCGAATTGTCGCTAAAGTTAAGAATATGAACGAAACTGTAATTTTTATTCAATGAAGTCAATCTGTATCCATGAAACTTGATGAAAAGCTTATATTTCTATAGGAAATTGAACTTCAACCTTAAAAACTTCATAAAATCATTGCCAAATCTCATAACATCTCCGCAATTTGAGGTTGTATCAAAAATGTTTAACATTGAACGAAAAAATTTCAATAAATCTTCAAGTTTTTACTGAAAAATTGAGTATAATACAAAAAACTTTATATAAACGAAGAGTGAAGTCAAGAAACTTCACCAAATCTAAATTTTGACCACAGAAATTCTAACATTAATGCAGAACTTCATTGATATCTCAAATTTTGACCAAATCAATATAAGATCAAACCTAATCTAAGAAACTTCATCGAAACTTTAATTTTGAGCTTTGAAATTTAATATTAATGAAGAAAACTTCATTGATATCCTAATTTGAATAGAAAATACAATATAAACCAAATGAAATCACGCTCAACCGGTAAAACTTCCTCAAAAACATCATTTTGACCACAGAAATCTTAACAGTACTGCAGAACTTCATTGATAACTCAAATTTTGACCGAAAATTTAATACCAACCTAAGGAACAAGTATAAGATCAAACCTAATCTGTGAAACTTCATTGATATGTTAAATTTGAATGGAAAATTCAGTATAAACGAAGGAAATTTAACTTCAACCTTAAAAACTTCATTAAATCATTGCCAAATTTAATAACATCTCCGCAATTTCAGGTTGTATCAAAAATGTTGAACATTAAACGAAAAAATTTCAATAAATCTTCAAATTTTTATTGAAAAATTGAGTATAATACAAAAAACTTTATACAAAAGAAGATTCAAACTCATGAAACTTCATCAATACCTTAATTTTGACCACAGAAATGCTAACATTAATGTAGAACTTCATTGATATCTCAAATTTTGACCAAATTTAAAATCAAACCTAATCTATGAAACTTCTTAATTTTAAGCTTTGAAATTTAATATTAATAAAGAAAACTTCATTGATATCCTAATTTGAATAGAAAATACAATATAAACCAAATGAAATCACGCTCAACCGGTAAAACTTCCTCAAAAACATCATTTTGACCACAGAAATCTTAACAGTACTACAGAACTTCATTGATAACTCAAATTTTGACCGAAAATTTAATACCAACCTAAGGAACAAGTATTAGATTGAACCTAATCTGTGAAACTTCGTTGATATGTTAAATTTGAATAGAAAATTCAGTATAAACGAAGGAAACTTAACTTTAACCTTAAAAACTTCATTAAATCATTGCCAAATTTAATAACATGTGAGGTTGTATCAAAAATGTTTAACATTAAACGAAAAAATTTCAATAAATCTTCAAATTTTTACTGAAAAATTGAGTATAATACAAAAAAGTTTATACAAAAAAAGATTTAAACTCATGAAACTTCATCAATACTTTAATTTTGATCACAGAAATTCTAACATTAATGCAGAAGTTCATTGATGTCTCAAATTTTGACCAAAAATTTAATACCAACCTAAGGAACATTTATAAGATAAAACTTAATCCATGAAACTTCATCGATACCTTAATTTTGAGCTTTGCAATTTAATTAGTAAAAGGAACTTCATTAATATGTTGAGTTTGAATAGAAAATTCAGTATAAACGAAATTAACTTCAATGAAATCTCGCTCAATCCATGAAACTTCATCAAAAACATAATTTTGGTCACAGAAATTCTAACATTAATGCAGAACTTCATTGATAATTCAAATTTGGACCAAAAATTGAACGTGAAACTTCAACGTTTCAATGTCAAAAACAATTTTGACCACAGATTTCCTAACATTAATGCAGAACTTCATTGATATCTCAAATTTGAATAGGAAATTTAATATGAACTAACAGAACTTCAATGAAGTCAATGTCAATCCATTAAACTTGATAAAAAATAGCTTAATTTTGAACAAAAAATTAATATTAACCTAAGTAACTTCATCTAATTGTAGCTAAATTTAAGAATATGGCCGAAGCTGCAATTTTTATTCACTGAAGACAATCTCTAGCCATGCAACTTCATGAAAAGCTTATATTTCTATAGAAAATTTAACTTCAACCTTAAACAACTTCATTGAGGTTGTAGTAGTAAATAAAAAAAAATTGTCTAATTGTCAATTCAAATTTCTATTTTTAAGTATTATGGTGTTACCAACTGCTACATACTTATTTCCCTACATTGTCAAAATTATTTTATTTTTGTTAAAAAAATAATGATAAAAACGCGATACAAAAAATACGTTTCATAAGACTTAAAGCACTCATTCTATATCATTTTTTTATTAAATTAATTTATTTTTTTTGTCGTAGGAAGCAATTGCAACGCCGTTAGAAGATGATAAAACGGCGGCGGACGTGGAACGTGGTCTTTTAGAAAAGTACCAACCCATTTTACATTCGTTCTTACACGAACACTTGAACCTGCAGTTGATCGCAATCTATTCGCTGCAGGTACATTTCTTTTCGCTCGGGTTTCCCCGCGGACAAATTTTACGTTGGTTTATGGCTTTATACGATTTGGAAATTGTTGAGGAAGAGGCGTTTCTTAACTGGAAGGAGGACGTTACAGATGCTTATCCAGGAAAAGGAAATGCATTGTTTCAGGTAAATTTATATGGTATTATCTCGATTATAGAACTCCTTAGAACAGACTTTGGATCTGCTCCAGTGATTTTCTCTTTTCCCTTTGCGGTTTTAACTAACTAAACTATCATAAAATTCTTCTTATTACTAATTCTACGGATGTATATCCACTCTCTCTTTGTAATGATCCATTGGTTCCTGAGAACAGTGCACCACTCCACTCTTGAATTTTTCTGCGTCCATCATGGTGATACTTTTTGTTTTTGAAAAGCCTGGTTATCTGAACTAAATGAGTAATGATGCGGTTCAAATTTTTTATAACTATGTTAATACTGTTATACGTGAATTTGTCCCTTTAAAATATTCATATAATATGATACTCAGTTTCGCATAATATCATTAAAGTAATTCGAGAGAAAAGGAGGGCGCACTGTAAATGGGAACGTTTTGGCAACCGACTTGACTACCTCACTTTTTCTATCTTAATTACATGGAGTTTTTGTTGATCCTTCTCCAATCCAGCAGAATGTGGATAGTCTGGGAACAGATGCTCTTCTTTGACTCAGATGCAGTTTGACAGGATTGAGGTTGGGAGGCTCTGATGAGCATCAAGGTTACTGACAGTACTGGTACTGATGGTATTCCATCAATTTTAATCAAGGAATGTTCACACTCTCTGTCCCTACCTTTAATTATTTTATTTAACGCTTCATTAATAATGAGTGTCTTTCCTTCATTATGGAAATAATCTTTTATTCTTCCTATTTTTAAATCTGAGGACTATTTTGCCAGCGTTTGGGAAAGTCTTTGAGAAAGTGGTTCAAGCACGTCTATTCTTTGCCCTTAAGTCTAAAATCAATTGTAGACAACATGTTTTTCTAAAGTTTGGTATATTCAGGGGAAATTTTTGCAATGGTTTGCTTCCTATCTGCAGGAAAGATGCCAGGAGAGATTCTGTGTGGTTCCTTCTGGTGTTGCAGGGTAGCCATCTAGGCCCTTTACTGTTTAATATTTATGTTAATGACATATTTGACGTCGTTAATTATACCCAATATTTAATATATTCTGACGATTTAAAACTTTTTCTCTATATCTCCTCACCTCAAGATTGTTCTAAATTGTAATCTGATTTAGATAATCTTCATGTTTTTTGCTTAAATAATCGCCTTTCATCAAAACTGTTTACATAAGCTTTTTTTAATATAATAAACTTAAATAAAACTAGAAATTAACACAAAACAGGTTATTTATTAAAAAATAATATGATGTCACACTAAAAAATTTTTCTGATTTTGTTCTTCTTCTTCTTCATGAACACTTTTTTGACTTTCTTGAGTAGAAGTTATTGCAGCTTTTGATGGAATAAGAATGATTTTCTTGGCAATGGGCGTATACTTGTAGTAAGAGGGTTAGGGCTCATCAATAATCTATGTATAATATCTCTATTATACGCCTCTCGGAAAAATTTTCTTGCAAATCCTTGCCTGTTGCACGAAAATGTTTATTTCGGGCTTCAGCAGCCTCTTCTGATAGTTGCCCAATCTGCAACAAGGCATGTGAAATAATTTCAACACCATGCACTAAAATTTTGTGCATGGTTGGTGTCATCGCATGCCAGCTCTATAAAGTAATATACTGAGCTGTTTTGTATGCATATGTTTCAAATTTAACGACATCAATCTCATGTCCACTTGATATTGCTTCTAATATAATCTTCAATCTGTAAATTAAGGTTTCAACAACTCCATTAATTTCGCTTGTCGATTTATGGTCTTGGAAAAATCTTCGACCTGAATTTTTGTCATAGCTAGCGTCATACTAAGCCCAACCCAACCCATCTCCTGTCTGAATTTGCTTGCCACTTTTCCATTGGAAACTTGTATGACAAATGAAGGATTGATTCAAACAACCGTATTGTTGCATGAAGGACGGATATTCCCAATCATTGTGTCATCTTTCTTCTTTGATGTATCATTACAGCTTTTTGAACTTTTTTTGACAAGTAGCACCGCATTGTAGATGCTGTGTTAGTTCTGGCATTGCAAATTTTCCCATCAACCATAGTAAATAATAGTTTGTGTTCAATTTCAAGATCAGGTCCTCTTTTCAAAGGTACTCTACTTTTTTGTAGCTCTTTTACTTCATGTTTTTTGATGTTCTACATAATATGATTTCATTTTTGGCAACATGCTTCGTTTCATGAATAAACCTGATTCTTATGGGCCTCTACAATATCAGGAGGAGGATATTTTGCCCTCTTTAGTTCTTAATCTAAATAGAACAAAGGAGTTTTGGAAGATATTTGCATCAGAGTCTGTTGTATTTCTAGATAGATAGTAGTTCTAGGTCTAGTAATCGAAGTTTTACTGTAATTTAATAAAATAATTTTTTTTTATATATATTTTTATATGAATTTTTTGTTTGATTAGGTAAATTCTTGGTTAACATGGTTACAAGAGGCAGAGTCAGAGGAAGAAGAGGAGGGTGACGAATAATATAAAGAAAAAGTAAAAAAACAGAGAAAAGAAAAAAATGTTTCGCGCCGTGCAAAAGTGTAAATTATTAGAAAAAGAACCTAATAAAAATACTCTCTGAAGTAAATTAATTGAACGCGCGTAATAAAAGAAAAAACGCGTATAATAAAGAAGGGAGCGAGGACAACAACAAGAAAATAAAACAACCCCGGCACATTCGTCCGCCCAACCTCAAAAAAAAAAATAAAAAAATACAACTTATAACACAAAAAAAGCATGAACCGATAATAACCTAATTATTAAATCGAAATCTTTGTTTTGATTTATATGTTTAGGTAGCCGTTAATGAAAAAAAAAAACTTAAAAAAAAATGAAGAAGAAAAAGAAAGTATTTCCGCTTTGTATTGTTTTTTTCTCTCTCTCTGTTCAGGTGTCTCGTCAGTTCGAAAATACGTTCGACTGTCGAATTAGTGGAATTGTACATTAATTAATCAATTTACATAAAATAGTAGCCTTATAATATTTTTTCCTCTATACATGTGAAGTAAATATTTTTTTTAATTTTTAAATCAAGTCTATAGAAATGTAGTGGTCTTGTAGATCTGTAAGGTTGCGTCTCTAACTTTCCCATTAAAACTAACCCCTCTCTCAAAAAGGAAAAAAAAACTATATAATATTAATTTTGATGTAATAATAATTAATATTATTATTTTTTTTTTAATAATAGTTTAAAAATTAAGGAATCTGATTTTAAAAACATTTACACGTCGAATATTTACGCGTATTATTTAAATAAAAAAATTATAATAAAAACTGATTAATCTAGAAACTGAATTTTCGATTGGTTCTGTTATGGATGATTTTTTTGTCGTAACTAGTACGTGTATTTAGTATTAATGTATGTCATAAATTATATATCTACATTTTTATGTGCTTTCGTTTTTAAGTTGATGTGTGAAAAGTGGAACTAAGAAAATATTACAAAAAAAAATATAACGAAAAAAAAAATGATATCAAGAAAAAAATATAAAAGAAATAAACATAACTTATATACAAAATAATGAAAAAATTAAACTATACATAATTAATAACTTTGCACTACTGTTGTATAAAGTAATAAGACATTGATAATTTTAAGATCCAATGTAAGGATGATCTTCTTTCCCCTGCCCCTCATTTTCAGTTTTATTACTTTTTTTTTAGATACAATAGAAACAGAGAACATGGTACTGAGAATTTGTTGTTCATTTATGGTATTATTAAATACAGAGAAAAAAAAATCAAAAACGGCCAAATATTTTTTGTTTTATTTCAATTTATTTAAATAATCCTCATTAAAATAATTAATAACTTATATATATATTATTATTAATAACCATATTTACAGCAGTTTTAAGCATAAAAACATAGAAGATGGATTAAAAATTATCACAGAAGAAGTTAATGATTTCAAAATTTGATATTCTAGAAAAGGACCTATAGAAAAAGTTAAAACGCGTTGATTTTATGGATTTAGGATCAAACTCAAAAAAGAGCCACTCCAAGCTCTGAACTCTTTAGATATAAAGCTACAAAGTTAAACAACAATTTTATGAAAAGATCATAAAATTTGATCACATATTAAGCTAAAACTGCTTGTCACAAGTAAGGGTTGCTTTGAGAAATTTAAAAATCATTACAGCCTTCACAATTTGAAGTTGATGGGTGAGTCTCCCTCAGCTGATGATGAGGCGGCAAAACTGTATCCAGAATCCCTAAAGAATATAATTCAAGTTTGAATTTCTGCCTCTTAACGCAATATCTCTTCTTCAGCCTTTTCACTACTCGTACATTCTAGGTATATTATACCAGAGCTTTAAAAAAGTTGTCTAACTTTAACATAATGCTGGAAAAACACAACATTGCTGATTGTATAGCAAATATTGAACAATCGCGCGTGAATTGAAAAAATCTGAATTAAATGGTAGCTGGAGGAAAATCTGGAAAAGTGTTGAAGGATGATGAAAATTTATCATGAATGCATTGACATTAATGAAAATAACGAAAACGCCGTCCCAGCTATGTTAACTTTCAAAACAGATGAAGAATGTTGATGGAAAAGGATCCTATAACATAACGAACCTTAAAGGCACATGAGATCTAAAACACCTTAGAAACTTTTGCAACAAGACTCCAAAATGGAACAAATAAGCGCAAAATTACAGACTTTAGACTAGAAATAAGTTTAAACTGCAAACTAGCTCCAAATTTATGAATTCCCTATATTTTTAGACAATGCAGCTGAGAACTTAATATAACAACCTTTTTTTTTACTATATAAACAGTAGTGTATTCATTTCATATCATTAATAAAATGTATAATACGTATATTTAGAATAAATGTATTTTAAAACTCAATATTTTCTTAATCCTTGGAACCAAATCCCTCTAATTCCATATAATTCAATGTTTCAATTTACGCTATTTCGATTTACACAGGATTTTCGCGAATTGGAAGGACTAGAGATATAATAAGTGATAAGAATTATTGTAAAAAGAAATATTAAGATAAATGCAGTTTTTGACCTTGACCTTATTTTCAAGGTTATATGAAGGTCATGACCAATTTTTTAAATGGCACCCTATATATTTTATTGTAAAATCTGAATCTGTGGATAAAAGTAATTCAAAAAAAAATAAATAAAAAAATGTTACTGTGTGGTTTTGCCAGTACAACGGCAAAATATCTTTTGAAAAAAATTGAAACTTCTTTAGAAACAATTAACTAACGTTTATAATCCAGTAAGAACAAATAAGATTTATGAATTTTTAAACATTTTCCTACCCGCTTCGATACATTGTCTTTAGTTGTTAATTCTTAGAGTACTATTTAAGAAACCTCAACAAAAAAAATCCAGAAGAGGTACATCGAGTGACTTGGCTCGTCGGAAATACCTTTGGAAAGAGGTTTCCACATTTCTCCGCCTTTGTCAATTTGATAACAGAATAGCGCATAAAAAACAAGACCTCGTGATTTGGCATTTTCAGAATATCGTTTTCAGAGACTTAATTGGTTGAATTGTTTTAAAATGTAACAGGTTAAATTAAATTTGCATAAAAACTGCTTGGCAACAAATTCTGAATTCGTTCCATCGTTTTACATTAAGGCAAAGTATTTAAACTAAGTCATTATATCATGGATACTCTAAGTGTGGCAGAAAAAGTCGAAATGATTTTTATTTATGGAGAAAATGGCAGAAAAGTTACTGAAAATATAGCTTTGTATCGAGAACGTTTTCCTGACCGAAATACGCCATCAAAAAGTACCTTTTACAGAGTTGTGAATGATTTGACTAACACTGGAAATGTGGAATCAAGAAAAAGAAATCTGCGAGCAACTGTAACTACGCAAGAAAAGGAAATTGATTTGCAATTGACGCCGGAATGTCGAAGACCAGCATTTTAAGAATATTAAAGCGCAACAAGTATCACCCATACCACGTTTCATTGTATCAATAGCTTTATGGAGGTGATTTTGAAAATCGATTAATATTTTGTCTACTTTTATAAACAAAGGACAAGTCAATGGACATAACATGCACTATTGGAGCGTTGAAAATCCGAGATGGTTGCGTGAAGTAGAACACCAACGACCTTGGTCGGTTAATGTTTGGTGTGGCATAATTGGTGATAAATCGATCTATACTTTATTGATAATATGATGAATGGGGAGAAGTACCAACATTTTTTAGATGACGTCTTACCGACGTTGCTTGTAGATTTGAGTAGGGAACAAAGACAAAATATGTGGCTGCAAAATGATGGGTGTCCAGCACATTTTGAAGCTTTAGATCGGGATTATGCTGGGCGAAGGATTGGAAGGGGAGGTCCAATTTCCTGGCCTGCCAGATTTGATTTAACACCTCTTGATTTGTTTGTCTACGCCAGAAAACTCTTTCTAGTGGATAAGAAATGCATCCAGAAATAGCCAAGAAAACCTTTTAAGATGCAAAGAAAGTTTTAGCAGAAGGGTTAATAAATGTATTGAAGTGGGTGGGGAACTATTTGAACATTTATTATAAATTTTACACTTGTTGTTGATTAATAGTATAGTTTAATAATTTTATTTTATAAATAAACAATATTTAAAACTATTTGAATAAAAAAATTATTTAGATTTTGTCTACAAAAGATGTTTCGTCGTCGTACTGGCATTTAAAAAATTGGTTGTAACCTTCATATGACCTTGAAAACGCTTGTCTCACGTTAAATGGACCACCTCTATTTAGAATATCTTAATTCTTGGAACCAAATTCCATATAATTCAATGCTTCAATTTATGCTATTTCGATTTACACGGGATTTTTTGGATTGAAAGGACTAGAGATATAAAAATTGATAACAAATGTAAAAAGAAATAATAAAATAAATACAGTATAAATAAATATATAAGGGAGTGGTGCGTTTTGAAGAGAGGGTGGATGAGATTTATATATATATATATGAAAAAATAAAGATAACAAAAAAATGCATTTATTTGATAGTAACACAAACAAAAAGGAACAAAAATAAAATTACAAAATTTATAAAATATTGATAAACAATGCCAATAATTAAATAAAAACGTTTATTTTTTTCATTTTTTTTTGTTAAATTAACTATTTTACAGTTATTACATACAATCTAACAAAAATATCTCTTAATTTAGTTGTACTCTAATTTGAACTTTGCAATCAAAGACAGGTGATCTGAGCCGACCTCAAAATTAGGAATTCGTACATTGTCCAGTTGACTTGCAGTTGGTAGAGTATACGTTGATATCAATTTTAAATGTGATTCTTTAAATTTCGTGTTATCACGTTTCCCGCTAAAAGAATTAATTTAAAATTTTTTATGATCAATTAATTTTGATTTACCTATAAAAAATATAATCTACAGTAACCCATTCATCTTGATATGTTGTTCCTTCAACATCATTATTAATAACATGTTTATACACAGAACCCAAATTAAAATTGTGCGTCAACATCCCAGAAGAAAACGTATGCTTTTTATAATCATTATGACGTTTTTCTTTATTAACTTTTTGATCTGAATTTAATAGTCGTATCATTGATTCTTCAACATCTCTCGAAGGTTTCATGTTCATCATCCGTTTTTCAACTAATTCGCCATGTTGGCAATTATCTAATTAGAAATTTTAATAAATTAAATTAATTTGTTTAATGTAATTAATTAATTAACCTGTAATGTATAAAAATTGCGGTATTAAAACTTTTCCAGAATTATACCTTGTCCTCAACATAACATTCTCATACTTGTATTTCCCATTAACAATAAATTGATAAATAGCCGATGAAGGAAGTGAATTAAAATCGCCCGTTATTAAAATTGGAATATAATACTCATCACCATTTTTATTTTTCCTATACGCAAACCTTTCAATTTCAGTTAACAAAACTTGCGTTTGCGCTAATCGAACATCTTGCCTTCTCGGATTGTATAATAAATGTGTCGTGGCAACGACGAATTGAGTCGATGGGTTTCGTTTTGGGGAAAAAGTTGCTACAATCGCAACGTTATCTCTATCAAGAATAGAGGTGTTTGGTTGTCGGAATTCAACTGTTGTGTATTCAACTAAATTAAATTTATCGGTTTTATAATAAATAGCACAGCCGTCGGTACGAATTCCCGTTCTTTGTTTATAAATCATGTTGTAACCTAACGTTTCTAATTTTTTAAAATATTTATCTATGTGAGATTGTTGTACTTCTTGGAGACACAAAATCTAAAAACAAATTAAATTGTACTAGAAGGATAAAGGTTTTCACGGCTGGTGTGAATTAAACTAAAATTAGCACTATAACTAGAATTAATGCTAGACTTAGAACTAAAAATATTCAGGTTTTGCCGTCTTAAGAAAAGAATTGGGCAGACTTTAGATATCATAAAGCAGTCTGAAATTATTCTGGGCAGTGTTTAGAACATCATGAGATTTTATAGAATTAAATTTTCCATACTCCAGACAATAAGAAATGTCTATCTAATTGTGTCTCAAAATAGACACAACATTTATGATAAATTATTTCCATCATCTGTTTGCATGGAAGAGTCAGTTTCAGTTCTTCGTCGGCGGATTAATCAGAAATTTCAAACAGAACTATTTCATTTGTTATAAAAATGGATTATGCATCATGGGAGAAAATTAAACCGATGGATATTTCATATAATGACAAGAACACGCAATGTACAAGGGATTTTGGGAAGCCACTAATTTGCTATGTCGTGATTTTTAAAAGTGGCTCCGAATGGATTATATTATTTAAAAGTAATTGGTCATTGCTCCATAATTCGAAATTCCAAGCATCCACGTATAAAAAGCATTCTGAACATGTTATATTGATACATTGCTCATTAAGTGGTGAATTTTAATAATATTCGTCATCAAAACACAACGATTTTTAAATAACGAGTCTGCCCTCCGTATAAGAGCGATATAAACGCAATACCATGACTATCCTATTATATCTCTTTATGTGATGAAGTTTGATGCTCCATACTTAAAATATATTCAATAAGTAGGATATGACAATTTTTTTGTCCATTATTTCGGGTTTCAATGATATGCTCAAGGACAGTAAAAAAACTGGCATCTTCTTTAGATGTTGATACAAGCTTTAAATGCCAAGAAATATTAAGATTAAGACAAATTAAAAAGCAATTCTCTTATGAATGCGAAGATCAACCTATAAGAATGAAAAAGTAATTCAGAAATATTTATTTTTTTATGGAATCTCTCCGAATTCAATAAATATCTTCAAGAAGACCGGCTCAATCTTTGTCAAAAACTTGAAACAGCATTAAGTGACAAACAGATTTTGCAGAGCTTTGGGGACAGTCTTACATCACCCGTTAAAGCTTCAAATTATATAGTTGATAACAATCTAACCCATTCATTTCCTAATATCTATATGTATTTCCCTATGGATTTTGTTAACAATTCTAGTCTCAGTTGCTACAGCAGAGAGATCATTTTCAAAATTAAAAATTATCTGCGGTCTGCTCTATACTATGACAAGATAGATTGGCAAATCTTGCAATCATATCTATTGAGAGTGACATTTTACAAAAAATAGATATAGATTTAATAATAGGACAATTTGCTAAAAACAAAGCCAGAAAAGCTCAGTTTTTGTAAGATGAATTTCAATATACGCATTTTCTTATTAATTTTTTGTTAACACGTGGACCAATTCGTGATTGAACTATTTTATGTTAAAGTTATATTATTTTATGTAAATATTGTTTATTTAAAAATATAAATAGTGTAAATCTTAAATAAAATAATTGTACTGGTCAGTTTAGAATACCAAGAAATTGTCTGGAATTAAATTGGCTGTACTCCAAAGAATGAGAAAACTTTAATATTGTACTAGTCAGACTTTAGACATCATAAAGAAGTCTAAAATTATACTGAGCAGAGCTTAGAACATCATGAGATTTTATAAAATTAAATTGGCAATACTCCAGATAACAAGAAAACGCTAAAATTGTACTAGTCAGGCTTTAGGGATCTCTTTAGGGAATAATGTATTAAGGTTACTGTTATTCCATTAGAATGTGTTCCGCCGATTCCTCCTCCTCGCCGCATCCTCTGCAGATGTCGGTGTCACTTATTCTCATGTTCAGTAAGTGCTTCTGTAGATCCCAGTGATTAGACCTATGACCAAACGTAGGTTCTTCCTGGACAGCCTCATAAATAAATCTCTTCGTTTAGGGTCAGGGTACATTAGAGCCTCCTTGGCTTGGCGACATCATGCTGTCTTGTCCCAGTAGTTTAGAACCTTCTTACGTGTTTGTTTCCTGTTTTTGAAGCTCTATTAAAGACCTTATTGTTGGGGCAATGAATGGTTCTGGCGATCCCGGAGGACCGCCTGCAGCTTTCCTTGCTAGTTTGTCCACCATGTCATGAAGCTTATTTCTCGAATGACCTTTTGTCCAGCAGATCGTAATCTCATTGGGCAGAGTTCAGAGCATCATGAGATCTTATAGAATTAAATTGGCCATACTCCAGACAACAAGAAAACGCTAAAATTGTACTGGTAAAGCTTTAGAGATCATAATGGAGTCTGGAATTATATTGGGCAGACATCAGACATTGCGAAAAACTCTAAAATTATACAGGTGAGATGTCAGACATCATAAAGAAGTCTTTAATTGTACTGGTAACTGTCTAGAATACCAAGAGATTGTCTGGAATTAAATTGGTTGGACTCCAGACAACGAGAAAACTGTAATGCCGGGTTTATACAGAATTTAGCTGTAAATTTAAAGATTTAGATTTAAGGATTTTATTTAGCTTTAAGAAAAAAATTGATTTATACAGAATTTAAGATTTACAGAATCGTAACCTCAAGAAACAAAATATTACTGGTTTTTGTGTTGTCGTTTTCTACCAACATCTTATCTTTATGTTCAGAACATTTTTTAGCGTAAATATATCGGTAGTTCTCAACAATTTTAATTAATTTTCCATCGAATTCACTCATTATGTTGGCACAAAAATAAACAACAGTTGAGGTTAGGTTAGAACGCGCTTTTTACACCGGCCGATCATTGGATACAGCTGATTGAGGTCGTCTTGCGCATGTGTGACGCTATAAATTTAGAAAAGTTGACCAACTTTATGTTTACAGCTAAATCTTACAGCTTTGTATAAACGATACATGGGGTTTCAATACATTTAACTCTTACAGCTACATTTTTAAATTTACAGTTAAATAGTCTGTATAAACCAGGCTTTATATTTTACTAGTCAGACGTGAGACATCATGAGGACTTCTGGAATTATACTAGGCAGAGTTTAGAACATCATGAGATTTTCTAGAATTAAATTGACCATACTATAGATAATAAGAAAACACTAAAAATTGTACTGGTCAGGCTTTAGAGATCATAACGAAGTCTGGAATTATATTGGGCAGACATCATAAAGAAGTGTTTAATTGTACTGGTCATAGTTTAGAATATCAAGGGATTGTCTGGAATTAAATTGACTGTACTCCAAATAATGAGTAAACTCTAATATTGTACTAGTCAGACTTTAGCCATCATAAAGAAATCTGAAATTATACAGGGCAGTGTCTAGAACATCATGAGATTTTCTAGAATTAAATTGGTCATACTCCAGACAACAAGAAAACGCTAAAATTGTACAGGTCAAGCATTAGAGATCATGAAGAAGTCTGCAGTTATGTTGGGCAGACATCAGCCATCGCGAAAAACTCTAAAATTGTACAGGTGAGACGTCAGACATCATAGAGAAGTCTTTAATTGTACTAGTCATAGTCTAGAATACCAAGAGATTGCCTGGAATTAAATTAGCTGGACTCCAGACAATAAGAAAACTCTAATATTGTACTAGTCAGACTTTAGACATCATAAAGAAGTCTGGAATTATACTGGGCAGAGTTTAGAACATCATGAGATTTTATAGAATTAAATTGGCCATACTCCAGACAACAAGAAAACGCTAAAATTGTACTGGTAAAGCTGTAGAGATCATAAAGAAGTCTGGAATTATATTGGGCATACATCAGACATTGCGAAAAACTCTAAAATTGTACAGGTGAAACGTCAGACATCATAAAGAAGTCTTTAATTGTACTGGTAACAGTCTAGAATACCAAGAGATTGTCTGGAATTAAATTGGCTGGACTCCAGACAATGAGGAAACTCTAATATTGTACTAATCAGACTTTAGAAATCACAAAGAAGTCTGAAATTATTCTGGGCAGAGTCTAGAACATCATGAAATGTTCTAGAATTAAATTAGCCATACTCCAGACAACAAGAAACCGCTAAAATTGTACTGGTGAAGCTTTAGAGATCATAAAGAAGTCTGGATTTATATTGGAAAGACATCAGACATCATAGAGATGTCTTTAATTGTACTGGTCAGAGTCTAGAATACCAAGAGATTTTCTGGAATTAAATTGGCTGGACTCCAGACAATAAGAAAACTCTATTATTGTATTGGCCAGACTTTAGACATCATAAAAACCCATCTTAAGAGACATATGTGTTAGCTTTAGTTTAATTAAATTAACCTAATTAACAAAAAAAATTAATTATTACATCTCCATTTTTCTCTTTAATTTCTTGATATAAATTTTTATAACGAAAATCCCATTGCAACGCATTTTGATCATTTCCATTATACAACTCTGGATGTTCCATGAGTAAATCTTGAGCAAGAACATTATATGATATTATGGTAAAAACAACACCAGATTCAGTTTTATTTTGGCGATAATACAATTTTCCAAAATTGGTTAAATCCCAACGACGCATTCCTGTTTATAAAAAAATAATAAATAAATTTATCGATTACAAAACCTTAGAAGTTTTACCTAAAATTGAATTAGATCTAGCAGAAGATCTAGATCCACTTCCTTTTGCAGAGCTACTCCCTCTTGATTCCACACTATTACGATAATGAACATTACTATTTTGATGATCCAAAACGGAAGAGGTAGAGAAGGATCTTTGGAAGGCGATCGCAGCTGGATAATTATTATAAGGAAACAATACGTTTTGATGTAAATATCCACCAAAAAGTAATTGTTGGTGTACACTGGGGCAATGGAAGTTGGTGGCAACACTTTCTAAAAATGCCGTACCATAACTGGTACTTGCAACGATGTTAGAGTGATTTGAACCTGTTGCATAGACAGGAATGTTTTTATTAATACTTTCCTTATTGTCGTTGTTTCCACGTTGCCGATTGATGCTGTTGGATCGTTGTTTATTATTGTGAATAGGGCAAGGAGTGCTAGAAATCCCATCATCGTGGCAAGCGCAATTTGAGCCTGCTTTTGAAAAAACTTTTTTTGAATCCATTTCGTAAATTAAAGGCCGATCTTCTTTAACAACGACAACGCATGCTGATAATGATCTTTTACTATTATCCAACTTTACAAGGTTAACCGAGTCATCGCAATTGGATACGAAATTAATGCCATTACTATTATTAAACGATGATAAAAAACGAATAGATCTGCTCCTACATATCAGCATTCCATATATATTATCAACTTTGCAAACTTACGTTTAGCATTATTGTGAAGATTTTTGGTTAATTTCAGAAATTTTAAACATGTACTGTCAAAATTTTGTTACACCATCTTTAAATATGTAACTAACTTCACGTTGATATAACCTATAACAAAAAAAATTTAATAAAAATTGAAATATTAAAAAAAATGTTTTAAAATTAATTATATAACAAATATTATCTTAAATAAATTATTATTTTTTTATATATTCAATAAATAACCAACTTCACATTGTAGGATTAAAAAATAATCAAATAAGCGCCCTCTATAATAATAAACGTCAAAGTCGTTTGTTATTCTTGATTTTGTCAATTTTAAAGCTCTTTTCCAACTAAAAATAAACGATGGCTTCATCAGAACCGATTCAAGTGAGTTCGTTACCACTACCGCCGATGCAATACATTAACCAATACTCCGACGAGATGATTCGAAGGGGCAGAGCCCCTCGGCCTCCACCGCCGATACATGATACTTATCATATGTTTGGAAATACTTTTAATACTGAAGAAAGTATCATTCGGCCGTTAGAAAGCCAGGTAAATAAAAAATAATTTAATTAATTATGATTAAAATCATTTCTTTTAGGGTATAAAACGTTTATATCCTTTACATTTTGATCGTAGGAGAGAATTAAAGAAACTTAATCAATCTCTTTTAGTGAATTTCTTAGACTTACTTGATTTATTAGTACACTGCCCGGATTCTCCGCGTAGAGCGGAAAAAGTAGAAGATTTAAGCTTATTATTTATCCACATTCATCATTTATTAAATGAATTTAGACCACACCAAGCACGCGAAACTTTAAGGGTTATGATGGAATTGCAACGAAGGGAACGTTTAGAAACTGCAAATAGATTTCAAAAGCATTTGGATAAAGTTAAAGAAATTTTAGAGCAAGCTTTACAAAACTTACCCGAACCTATGGAAATTGATTCTCAACTGATGATTGAGACAGATTTACTTGTTAATAGTGATAATAATATTAAAGATGATATCAATTCGGATCCTTGTAGTATTTTTGATAGGATTATGTGTAAAGTTGTTGATGAAATGTAATAAAAAAGTTTTTTTTATTTGATTTGTGATAAGATTATCAAAAAATTAATAAAATGGGAGTTGAGGTTATGTCATTTTTGGTTTTTTTTTTAGTTATGACAGGTTAAATTAAAACTCATTGTTTTGAAGTAAAAAATTTTATTAATTTAAAATTTGGCAACAAGAAAACGCTAAAATTGTACTGGTCAGGCTTTAGAGATCATAAAGAAGTTTGGAATTATATTGGGCAGACATCAGGAAAAACTCTAAAATTGAAAAAAGTAGTGGAGTATAACTACTTTCACCAAAAAGTAGTTTAACTACTTTTAAAATATGGTACTCAGATTACTAACTACCAAGTAGTTAGTAGTTAAATATCTAACCACTTTTTTAACTATAACTGCAAAAATGCATAAAAAGGTCTGCAATAATAAATAAATGCAAAATAAAATAAATGCTTATTTTAAAGGTAACTAGTTTCTAGTTAGCAGTTAACAACTACTGTTTGAACTGTAATACATAAATTATGCTTAAAGGTCAGATTCTTTTGGTACAAAAACACAAAACTGAAACTTATGAGGTAGGTATTAAAATCATTTAAAAATTTTAAGTTATTTAAAAAATTTAATAAACAAATAAACGTAGTAATTTGTAACTTTGAAAGCGCCTTTTAATGTAAGTTAAGTTTGCTTCTTATGTCTTCTTGATGAATTAACGAACGTTCAACTGCAGCTGATGATGGTAAGTTGGTGTTTTATTTGTAAATACTTGTTTAATTAACTTATAATCATGGAGCATTTCTTTATTAGTTCTTCTATGTTCCAAGTACTGTAATAAGTCTAACTCCAATTTATTTCTTACTAAATCTTTTTCTGATTGGATGTTTTTTGTATTTATCATAATTTTTTGAATTTTCATCTCTTTTGAAAACAAAAACATTATTTCCAGGTTGTACATCAGTTAAAATTAGGTTATCATCACTTCCTTACAGAACATCATCAAACAAACCACAACATTTGTTTATAATAAGTTTTAAGAACAATTCTTTGTTTACTCTATGATCAATTTCCTGGTAAACAGCCTCCTCAGTTTAATGGACGGTGTCATTACTGACGCAATTATAGCCTCAAGAGAATCAACATTCATTGAAAATAAATTCAATCAAAAGTTAGAATACCTACTACTTTATGGGAATATTTTATACCAGCATAAAATAATCGAGTATAACTACTAATAGAACGAGACTACTTAGAATACAACAACTTTTACGCAAAAAGTAGTTAACTACTTTTGTAGTTAACTCCTAGTCAGATTTTAGACATCACAAAGAAGTCTGGAATTATACTGGACAGAGTCTAGAAAATCATTAAATTTTCTAGAATTAAATTGGTCATACTCCAGACAACAAGAAAATGCTAAAATTGTACTGGTCAGGTTTTAGAGATCATAAAGAAGTCTGGAATTGTATTGGGCAGACATCAGACATCGCGAAAAACTCTAAAATTGTACAGGTGAGACATCAGACATCATAGAGAAATCGTTAATTGTACTGGTTACAGTCTAGAATACCAAGAGATTTTCTGGAATTAAATTGGCTGGATTCTAGACAACGAGAAAACTCTAATATTGTACTAGTCAGACTTTAGACATCATAAAGAAGTCTGGAATTATACTGGGCAGAGTGTTCTANAATCATCATTCATTGAAAATAAATTCAATCATCATTCACAAAAATAGTTAGAATACCTACTACTTTATGGGAATATTTTATACCAGCATAAAATAATCGAGTATAACTACTAATAGAACGAGACTACTTAGAATACAACAACTTTTACGCAAAAAAGTAGTTAACTACTTTTGTAGTTAACTCCTAGTCAGATTTTAAACATCATAAAGAAGTCTGGAATTATACTGGACAGAGTCTAGAACATCATTAAATTTGCCATACTCCAGACAACAAGAGATATCACCCAAGCTATAAAAGATGACATAGCTATGTTTGCTGATGACACGGTATTATATGCAAAAGACTACGATCTGTCGGTAGCCATTAATAAATTACAAAGAAATGCCCAAAAGATAAACAAGTGGCTAAATCTATGGAATCTGGAAGTAAACGCAAAAAAATGTGCTGCAAAAATCTTTACCCTAAGACAAATAAGAAACCCTCAACAACTACAATTATATAGCCTCATAAACAGGAAATCCGCGCTTAAACCCGAAAGTACCATTCTAATCTACACCTCATTCATTCGTCCATCAATAACGTACGCATGTGAAATCTGGGGTAATACGGCTAAATCAAATCTTAAAAAATTATGCGCTTTTCAAAATAAGATTTTAAGACCAGCAGTGGACGCCGAATGGTTCATAACAAACAAACAGCTCCATAAAGAACTAGGCGTCAAAACAGTAGAGGAATTCATTGCATGTAAAACAAAGAAATTTCACGAAAACCTACGTATGTGCGAATCAACAAATATCTACAATTTGGGCAGAAGAAATATCCATCAACGATTACAACGTAGACTTCCCCAAGACCTATTCATAAATTAAAAAAGCATAATTATAATTGTATATTCCCAGAAGAGTGAATGTTGACTTCTGTTGCCATATATTGTAAATAGTGTAAATTTATTTGAAAAATGCCATGTATAACTGTTTGTAGTTGGTCTGGTATGGAATAAATTAAAAAAAAAGACAACAAGAAAACGCTAAAATTGTACTGGTCAGGCTTTAGAGATCATAAAGAAGTCTGAAATTATAGTGGGACATCAGACACCGCGAAAAGCTCTAAAATTGTATAGGTGAGACATCAGACATCATAGAGAAATCGTTAATTGTACTGGTCACAGTTTAGAATACCAAGAGGTTTTCTGGAATTAAATTGGCTGGTCTCCAGACAACGAGAAAACTCGAATATTGTACTAGTCAGACTTTAGACATCATAAAGAAGTCTGGAATTATACTGGGCAGAGTGTTCTAAACTCTGCCTAGAAGGCGCTGAGATTTTCGAGAATTAAATTGGCCATACTCCAGACAATAAAAAAACGCTAAAATTGTTCTGGTCAAGCTTTAGATATCATAAAGAAGTCTGGAATTATATTGGGCAGACATCGCTAAATACTCTAAAATTGTACAGGTGAGACGTCAGACATCATAGAGAAGTCTGAAATTGTACTGGTCTATTGGAATTTGGAAATTTTAGAGCAAGCTTTATAAAACTTACCCGAACCTATGTAAATTGATGCTCAACTGATGATGGGGACAGATTTACTTCTGTACCTGAGAGCTAAAGGGGTGTAAGTCCACTTTTAACAAAAATGTACTAATGCTCAAATAAGAATGCTCTAAAACCCAGTTATTCATTTATAGTAACATTATTTAAAAAAACTTTATTACGAGGAAAAATGTTTCGATTATAAAGAAATAGGTCCTTTCGTTTTCAGTGCAAAATAGTCGTAAGTCCAAAATTAATCTACACATCAATATTGGGTATTACTGAAAACCTTTAAACATACCGAAAAATTTGCCCCAATTAAGACATTCTAGAAAACCTATAAGTAAAGCCAGATATGAAAATCTTTTAACTTATGCTAAAGAGGCCCCAGAATTTCCTAATGATGATTAATAATAATAAATTAATAGGTTTTAAAGTTTCAAATTTGTTCTAGAAAAAATATAATAAGTTTGCTTATTTTTTGTAGTTCATATTGTTACAAATTTTTATGTTTTAAGTCTAAATAATCATTTAATTTTTTACAGCCAAGATGTAAGTCCAATAATTTTGTAAAAATAAAGATTTTTGATAAAAATATGCTATTAATGAATATTTAGACTATTAATATTAAAAAATACCGATATTTTCGAGCTTTATTTGTGAGGTAAAAACATGAGAATTATTAATTATTTCAATTTATTATTATTTGAAGTTAAATTAGACATTTTGGAGTTATGTCCCTTCAGCTCTCAGGTACAGACTTGTTATAGTGATAATAATATTAAAAATGACGCCAATTCGGATCTTTGTAGTATTTTTGATAGGATTACATGTGTGTAATGTTATTGATGAAATGCAATAAAATTTCTTTTCCTTGATTTGTGATAAGATTATCATAAAATTAATAAAATGAGTTAAGATGGGTTCAATTAAAACTCATTGTTTCGAAGTGAAAAATTTTATATTTGCTGGATGTTCATAAAAATCTTCAATAAATAGGCTGTCATAGGCTCAAATGAAAATAACCCTCCAATGATACATACGAAATCACAACGGTTAATAATATGGACTTAAAAATTACAACTGAATTATAAAGTAGTTAACCGGAAAGAACAAAGATTTACAACGCACTTGGTTTAAAAAAAAGGATAATAACAACGTAAAAAAAATATAGTACGGAGGGTGCTTTTAATCTTATGATTTCTTTATTTGAAGATTTTCCCTTGATTGAACTTCCGTCCATCTTTGTCTTCGCCCGACCATGCAAAGTATTGTGCCACTAATTTTTTAGTTTCCGCATCGGCGGGGTCTAATTTTTTCCAGTCGTAAACTTCGTAATCTATCTGCCAGTCAGGACTTAGCTAATAAAAAAATAAATTGTTGAATTAATTGAGGTTGGAACAACAAATAGTTACCGTAAATGCCAAATCTTGACCTCTCCAAACCCAAATTCCGGAAATGGAACTATCATTATCCGTACCGAAAAGGCACACAGATGCAAAGGCTTGTTTACGCATTTTATCCAATCTCTGGTACATACCTTAAAAATAAATATGTATAATAAAAATTAGTTGTAAATAAAATTACAATTTTACCTGTGATTAAATTACAGCTCATAAAAACTTTAGTAAGTTCATCTCTATATTTATATTCACCGTACCAAATAGAATAATTTTCTGGATCAAATTTCTCCCAGAAGTAAGGAATTGATTTGGATTCATCTTCGTTGGAATAAAATCTTTTAAAATCATCCATGTTGAAGGTTCCTTTTGGCATGGAATCAAAGGGATCCTTACTTTTTGGTTCTTCAGCCAAAGCAGCTTCAGCAGCATCCATTTCTTCTTCAGGTTCGGGTTCTTTTTTTTCAGCCTTCTTCTTCTCCTGTTTCTTTTCTTCTTTCTTTTCAGTTTTCTTTTCTTTCTTATCTTTAGCTTTACCTATTTTTCGCAACAAAATAAAACTAAACAACCTAACTTTTTTAATTTGTATATGATCAAATTAAATCACAACTTACTCTTTTTTTTATTATTTTTATCATTATCCAAAGCAGCTTTATTTTATAATTTTTTTTTAATTAAGTTTTAAGAAATAAATTACGAATATAATTTACCTTGGTTAGCTTGGAACTCGCTATATTTTTTATGATCGACCTCAGCGACTTTTTCGCAAATCTTCACCTCACCAACGACGGCTTTAAATTCGGGTTGATTAATAACGGTGGTAAACCACCTTGTTACGTTTCCAAATGGTTTTCTATACTCAGGATCGAACGTTGTTGTGTAACAATGTAAAAGGGTGCACGCCACGGAAATATCAGCTAACGATACACGTTCACCCACCAAGAAAGTTCTTGTAAGTAAGTGGGTGTTGAGTACATTTAAAGCTAATTTCATGTCTTCTTTAGATCTTTCGAAAGTCTAAAAAGAAATAAATTAAGTAATCGTGGGGTTTTAAAAATTAAGAGTGAAGTTATAAAAATGATTAATAATGTTTTTGAAGATTTTGGTACTTTTTTATGATGCAACATGATAATTAGTTGATTAAAAAACCTTCAAAACGTTTTTATTTATCTCTTATAGTTACAAATTACAAAATGAAATTGTTTATAATCTGCCTTTGAAAGAGAAAAGTTCTTTTTAATTATTCTTTTTTTGATATCGTTGCAAGTATGCAACCAAATACGCAAATTGCGTGTTGCAATACCAAAACTGTGATATTGGTTGCATACTTGGAATGATTACGTAGGGTACGATAATTAATTAACTCACTGTACAGTGAGTCCCTTAAATACCCCCTTAAGTAAGCCATCTTGGAGATACGAAAATAAAGATAACTAAGATTTTTTTGCTGCCTGGGGAAAAATGCTTTCCAAAAACGAGTTGTGGAGTTTTTATAAGCAGCTTTTCTAGTTTTAAGAACGTATTTTATTTATTAACCCTTAACTGTGCTGGCTGTTTCAAGGTACGCCTGGACCCCACCAACACAGTTAAGGGTTAACAGTTTTGTTTGTAACTTCCTTTGTAAAACTTCCTGTCAAGAAGAAGGTTCGTCAATACAGCGCAGAATATTTATCCCTTGCTTTTACAGAATTTCTGTCCTTGGAATCTGGCAAAATACGACTGCAGTGCGTTATTTGCAGCCAGGTTCTAGCAAATGATTCTATGAAACCAGCTAATTTAATACACCATTTTGAAACAAAGAACATTGCCATGCCAGTATCAAACAATTCAGCCATAATGGCCTCCTTTAAGGTATACCAGCTAATAGCTCAAAAACGTAAAACTCATACTATTGTCTCATATTACCAGCAGTAAAAATTATGGTGTCTGCAATAATTGGGGATAAAGTAGCCAAAGAACTTACACAAATTCCGTTGTCACACAATACAGTGAACAAAGAAGAATTCAAAGTATGGCAGAAAACATAAAATATCAATTAACACAAAGAGTTCGTGTATCACCTTGGTTTGCTATACTAGTACAGTTGCATGAAACAACGGACGTAACTAGTCAGGCAGTTTTATTGTACTGTATGAGATACAAGAAGATGCGGTTCTCGAAGACCTGTTATTTGTAGATTCTTTAATTAACATCACCACAAAAGAAATGTTTGAAAAATTAAATACGTTTTTCAATGAAAATAAAATCGATTGGTGAAATGTGTTGGTGTAAGCACAGACGGTGCCAAAGCTATGTCCGGAAGAATAACAGGTCTTCATCTGCAGAGCGGTACCATTGTGGTATACATCGAGATACAAAAAAAATTCCTGCAGAATTAAAAGCGGTCTTACATAAGTGTATCAGAATAATAAATTTTATTAAAAGTAGAGCGCTGAATACGCGGCTTTTTTCATAATTATACAAAGAAATGGGAAGCGATCACTATGCACTGCTAATGCATACAAATGTAAGGTGGCTTTCGAAGGGAAAAGCACTGGTTCGACTTTGGGAATTACATAAAGAAATCAATGTATTCTTTAATTGTATTGGTCACAGTCTAGAATACCAAGAGATTGTCTGGAATTAAATTAACTGGACTCCAGACAACGAGAAAACTCTAATATTGTGCTAGACTCAGACTTTAGACATCATAAAGAAGTCTGGAATTATATTGGGCAGAATCTAGAACATCATGAGATTTCTTAGAATTAAATTGGCCGTACTCCAGACAACAAGAAAACGGTAAAATTGTACGATTACTTTTCTGAACTCAAAAACTAGGGAACTACGTAGGATTTTCAAAAAGTATTCATTTTTGGCAAAATTTCACATTTATTGATAAAAAACATACGCAAAAATGGTTGTAAAAGAAATAACCCTGTAGTATCCTACATTTGTCCTTCCTGACGGTTATTCTCTTCTTCTGCAGCAAATCTGTCTGACAATAAGCTTCTACGAGCTTCTTTACCCTCATTATATAACGTGAGTCCGTTTCGTGGCAAAACTCAAAGCACGATCTTCCAATTGTTAACTTTAATGCTTGCATTATTTCGATAATGCTTCATTAAAATTACAAGCGGCAACATTGAACATGAACCTTTTTGGTACCATAGACCATAATACAATGTTGTAACTTCCATTATTATTTTGTGTGTATTCTCCTAAACATCTTGTCAAAAAATATCTTCTCTGGAAAGTTCTTCATATGGTTTTACAATGTTGAAAACATCTTTGTCCATTGCTGGCTTGTGGGTGTACTCGTCGATCTGTGACAAAGCATACGCCTTTTGTCAGAACTCTATGTCGGAATCTACTTCCATTTTTTCTGAAGATCCGGTATGGTTTAAATTTTTCTTTATGATCATCGACCCAATCTTGGTATTCTGCAGTGTCTTTACTTTTCCAGTAACCGCAGTTTTTGCAAATTTTAGACTTTATTTCCAAATTTACTATTTTACCCGTACGCCATTCAATCAATGTTGTTACACCAAGTAAAAAATGAAAATCCCTTCTTTTTCCATGTTCCGTCACCAAAAACTGTTATTCCTCCAACTTGGTTGTTCTGGATTGATAATTCTGTTTCTTTATCTTTGAAAAACACTTGTCGCGCATGACTCTTGTTGCAAGTGCAACTTTCGCAATTATTTTATCGTAAAAAGCAAGTACTAAGCAGTCTCATAACAAATATTAATCTTGGATTGATGTCAAAGTATCACATATAACGGACACTTTAAAACCCAAACTACGCTGAGCTGGTTCTAAAAATTTTATTTTTGAGCCATATTCTTTGCAAACAACAATGTTAGAAAGTGCAGTAAAAACAGCAAACTAAGTGTCTAACTAATGTCAAAATACCTACAAGATATATATACTTTCAAGATATGAGCCGCCAAAGTTGAGGTAAAAATTTACATTTTATTTCGGCTATAAGAAAACCGAAGAACTTGAAAATATGTATGTATTTAGTACTGATTAAGACCTTATTTTCAAGCATACCTTCAGCTTTCTTAGCGCCCTCTAAGAGGATGAAATTTACAATCCCTCCGCTTGCACGAATTACTAACCAGCTTACTATGAGTCACTTCTTATGTAATCAAATGGGACAAGCAGAGATGTCCAGCAGATGACTAAAGCAAATCTATGACTAAACTGAACAAACTACAGGTTTTAATCGCTGATGAGTAGCTTCAGTTTGGTCACTAATGAGTCAGTAACTGGTTAGTGACCCTCCATGTCCAGCCCGCTTGAAAGTTGTACTTGAGAAACTTGAGTGGAATTTAACTATAAAAATGCAGTTCAAGTAGAAACCATACACTTTAGGCTTGGTGGACATTTTTGCTCTTACTTTGCTGACTTTGGTTGATAACATTTTAATAATTACTAATGAGTTAAACATAGGTCGTCGTGCCATATCTCATTCCAAGGTTTGTAGTATTTTTTGCCATCAAAGCGTCTACTGCAGTTCTTATCATTCTATAGGCCAGATCCACACTGTCACAGATCTACTTATTCAATGGGTAACATGGGCAGATAAAACATTGAGTCTATTTCACAAAAAATTTACTATTATCTATCTAATGATTGTTGCAAATACATATTGTAAGTTTTTAGTGAAACCATTCGCGTTCATATCTTTCCTAAATGGCGCCTTTCTGCCATTTTTAGTCTTTTGAGAAGTAAATATTTCCAACATCTTTATGATCCTTAGATTCTTAATATATAAACTGGTATAGGCGATAACACGAGAATGATTCATCAATTTCCGTTATTATTTTCCGCATACAGTACAGATATTACGCCCATAAAATGACGTATGTTAGAGTGAAATGGCATATCATGAATGCACTATTTCGTAAGTTTTTACGCAATGAGTCATTCTCACTTCTGGTGGTATAGAGTATATCTATAACCAACAGATCATTCTTAATACATTAAAAATCTTCTTTTGATAGTTTCAGGAGTAGGTTTCAGTCGAAATTATTCCACTTTTATTAATTTAAATGTATCTGGGCAACCCACATCCTCAGGTTACATCTTCAGGATGTGGATAGGATACAAAAATAAAACTACAATATTTAAAAGTTGGCAATGTTGGGATTCTAAGATATCTTCTAAATCTTATTCTATCATATAACTTACTTTTAATGTTATTAAGAAATAGTAAGAAATATGGTAAGAAATGGTGCAAGATTAAGACTAGAACTAACACTATATCTAAAACTAGAATCATTTGAGTTTAGCTGCACATCTCTAAGTTAAGATGGCTAAACCAGAATGATCCTACTTCTAGGTATAGTGTTCTAGTTTTACACTTGCCCTGTTACCATGTAGAAGTACTGTGTAGTCTTAATGAAGGGTTTAGCTGTGGGTCTCTGAAGATTGAAACTCAGAGTTATCATAAGGAAGTCACCTTTTCCACGCACAACTTTTCCTTTGCAAAACTACCCAATGCCTGTATTATTAAGCTATGTTGCATTTTATTTGGGACAGTGCAAGTGCATAATAATTTTATAACTATGGTTATTGCATTCATATATTATATTATATATACTATACATACTTGTTTATTAAACGGCATAATACCCAAAACTGGAAAAACCCAAGCACAAGCCGGTGGTAAAATGTCACTTTCAGCAAACCCCACCCATTGAAGTACTTGAGCCTGATCGAAGGCATTTTTTCCCCTGAGCTGTTCATTTGAAACGTAATAAGCAATAGCATTGCTATCGGTTAGGAATTTTCCATCTGATGTTTCAAAAGCTGGCACCTAAAATAACGAACCTAACCTCAAACTAACCTTTCAACATTAACTTACATTCTACTTACTTTTCCGGCCGGAAACTTTTTTAGGAACGCATCGGTTTTGTTGGTCTCGCCAAATTTGAAGTTTTCATCGACGTTTACGTTCGCCGCCGAGTATTTAGCGGCAACGAGGACCTTGTAAGCCCTGAAGTTCTCCGGGTAAGTGTATAAAGTCTGTTGATGAAAATACGAACGGATTAATATAGGAAATAAATCGGATGAACGTTGGGGACATATTCTAATTGATGATGACGATTATTTTCGATAGATAAATGTTGATTTTAGATAAAACTTACGCCTGCAGCCATCTCTAAAAAGTTCCAAGCAGAAAAGGCCGACGATCAGAAGTTGCGAATTTGACAGCTCGACTGCAATACGCCATCTTTTGATCGTTTATATAAGTTTATTGACACCTATTGGAAAATATTTTAAACTATTTTTTTATAATTATAGAACATTATAAATAAATTAAACACATATTTAAAAAAAAATAATTTGTGATTATTTAATTAAACCACTTTATTTTAATTAAAATTATTTTAATTGAAATTATTTAAATTGAAACGTCAAAATGTAGATGGTGCCACATATCAATTAATGTTTTAAATTTTAAAATAAATATTTATTTAATACTTTATTATAATTAAAACTACAAAATTAATAAATTACATCATTTAAATCACATTTAATTCTATTTAATTATTTCTAAATAAAAGCATTCACATCAACTTGATTCATTTCTAAATCTTTCCTTCGCCTCTTTCCATTCATAGCCATAGGAACTAACATTGCCATAGTAGCAGGGATTATCCCAGCCCCAACAGCAGCCATAACCGCTGAAGAATCGACCTTTTTCCCCGGTTTTTTAACAGCGCTAATAACTTCCTCAACTTGATTTTGATGTTTTAAAGGTTTTGCTTTAATCTGTTTCATTCTTTCTTTCCGGGCAAATTCCCTCTGGGAATCTTCAACAGTTTCAAATGTAGACTCAACCTCTAAAAGACCACCATGCGAAGTTGTCATGTTCACTTTTGAATTTCCTGTTGGTGGTAAAACTGTGAGATGGACTGATCTTGTGGTGCTTACCGATTCTGGTTCTATGTTTAAACTTCGATGTCTTTTAGCAGGGTATTTATAACCTTTCGTGGTTGATAAAAGAACCCATTCTCCATCTCCATTTGATGGATAAGTTATTGGAAGATCCGTTGATGATTGTCTTCGGTTAAAAAATTTTTCTGGTGTTCTTGGATAATTTGAAGGATTTTTGGTCTTTGATGGAAAGTTTGATGGAAAATTTGCTGGGCGGCCATCGGTTATAATAACATCACCGAAATCTTCATCTCCTCTTCTATCATCGTTTTTATGATAAGAATTCCATTCAAAATCATTACCAGATGATGGTAAATATCCTGGGCGAGGATCTGGTTTTTGAGGATCATAATTATTATTGTTGTAGTGATGATGATAGTGTGGTTTAGTCCAATATTGATTATTATTACTTTCAATATCGTCCCAATTCGAATTTTGCGGTTTGATATTACTTTGCCATTTAGAAACTTTTGAAACCGACCATGGCACCGCTTCTAAGCTAATCCAACCTTTCTTGTCATTATTGGGATGTGGGTTGTATTGGGTTACTTGGAGTAAGTCCCATGTTTTTGATTTTTGATCACCTTCTTGGTTTTTTTCAACATTTTTTTGTTCTTCTTGTTTTTTAAAATGATGTTGATTTCTTTTTGAGTACTTTTCCAAAAATTCTTTTAATGGCGGATACTCAGTTATTGATAAATTTTCGTCGTCGTCGGAATTATATCTTTTCTTGTAATCTTTGTGGACGTATTGCCCAAAAAGTTTTACCGGTGGTTGTTGGATATCTTTGTTTTCATCGAATAACTCCCCGAAAGAAATTTGTAAACACTCAAAAATAATAAAAAAGACCACTAGAATTATTTTTTTTGAAATCTTCATCTTTGTGGTAAAGAAGCTTGTTCTTCACTGTGACCAAGAGTCGCTTATTCCGGATTAATATAAGTTCCTGGTGCAAGCAGCGAACTCATCCCTACTACTTCATCTTACTTTCTCCGATTCTTAACGTTTTTACTTTTGCGACCCATTTCCCGGACCTCGGCATTGTGGCAAGATTCACGGTAAGTAGTCCAATTTTGTTTAAGAAGTCGCTGTTGTATTAAACGGGGGAGTTTCGTATCTAACGATTTTTAAGAGTTCTGCTTGATCGGTTGCGACGCGGGTCATAAAAATCCCGGCTGGAAACGGTTTGCCCACCTTGAAATATTCATGCGATACCATAAACCGGTACCACTTCCCGAGCAATTACTTTTGGAATCCTACCAAGGATCTATTCCTTCTCTGGATTTCGTGTCATGACTGGTTTCTAACGGTACCTTAAGAAACGAAATGGTTAACATTTTGTATTATACAAGAAAATTAATGTTATAACGACGTTTCTTAAGTGGCTATTAAACATTATTGTTTAAAATTTAGAACAAAATAATAAATTTTTAATAAATAACCTAATTAAAAATGGTGAATAAAAAACTAAGCCAAAAAGATAGTTTATTGTATGTCAAGTTTACAAAAGGCGTTGTAGTGAACGGATATCAATCATCAATCTGGGTTAAGTTGGATGGAAAAGCGTGCATAATTGTTGTTGGCGAGTATTGTCAGGGAGTAATTGTCCAAAGACCGCCCGCGTATTTTCTAATCTGCACCATTCTCGTTGTTCTACCGGAGAGTATCTTTGTGCCGGCGCGTGAACCGTGTCGCGCAGACGACGGACTATTTTCTAAGGAAATCTTAATTTTCGCCGGGTTTTCAGGATCTCACCCAATTTCTCTTCAAGTTAAAAAAGTTTTAAACTTTTTTCTTTTCCCCGTCCAATTTAACAAGTAATAACTTGTGTGTAATTGGCTATTTTTTTTCTAGTGCAAGTTGTAAATTTGTTTAGAAGTGAAATTTCTCTTGTTTTATCTTGTTTGTGTAGTTTATGGAGTAATTAACCTAAAAATTTTTGCTTTTAACAAATTCTTTTCGTTTTAATTTAATAATCTCCTTTTTTTTCAAAGAAACTTAATCTTTGGATATTTTTGCTAAAAATTATTAGAAATTGCTGTAGACTATAGATTTCCAATTTCCTTCCCTCTTCAGCCCACAGCCCGATCCTATNAACTTAATCTTTGGATATTTTTGCTAAAGATTATTAGAAATTGCTGTAGACTATAGATTTCCAATTTCCTTCCCTCTTCAGCCCACAGCCCGATCCTGTATTTGGCCATCGCAAATTATATACCAACTGCCGGCTCTAGCTCCACAAACGCTTTAGCACTGCCTTCTCATACTAGCTCATCTGGCGCTTCATTGCAGCAACCCCAGAGTAACCGGGAACCCAGATCAGAGAAACTCTGTTATCACAACTCAGCCTGCAGCGCCTAGAAAGTGGCTTGACTGGCTGAGAAAAATCGTACTGCCATGTTCTTCACCACACTCTCAAGAAGGATTTAGCACCCATGTCAATAGCAAATACTTCCGCCTGTAAACATACTTCCTGTATGTACTGTATGTGATTATAGGTCTAACCACAGTCACATAGAGCCAATATAGTCTTTCAGGTAGTCATTTTACAACTAACTTAACCAATTTCAAAATATTAAATTTTGTTTTCCTTGAAGCTGATTGATTTTTCTTATCTTAAAATTGTATAGAATAGTTCGCATCTGGTATATTCTAAAAGTTTATTGAAATTAATACTTGTGATATCATTTAGTTCTCCTGGTTCTTTCTTAAACAGATAACACTTTTCGAAAATGTCTCACGCCTAACTGCTCTCTGCGTGATGTAGATTGCAATTTGAATGTTTCTTCTTTTCCACCCACTTTCCGTACATAGTTGGAACTGAGCCAAAAACCTCCTGGTGAGAAAGGAAAACCACAGTTTCAGTTTAAAATGTTGATTTTTGGTTTAAATTAGTAAATGTAATATTGATTTATGATCCTTTTTACATCAGCATTATCTCAAACTGAAAAGACACCTTGTATATTAACATATTTAACGATTAAAATGATTAAACTTAGTTATTAAACAGATTGGACGGATTTTTAAATTTAGAGGTTATGTTTATAACGATATGTCACCGAAATGTCAAATTTGACAGATGAATTTATTACTAAATATTAATTTATTGATAGTTTTTACATCGTTTTTCTCCATGTGGCATTGAAAATGTTGAAGAGTGTGTTTTATTTAATTTATATGCGGTGTTGTTACAATTTCCAAGTNTGGCAAGATTCACGGTAAGTAGTCCAATTTTGTTTAAGAAGTCGCTGTTGTATTAAACGGGGGAGTTTCGTATCTAACGATTTTTAAGAGTTCTGCTTGATCGGTTGCGACGCGGGTCATAAAAATCCCGGCTGGAAACGGTTTGCCCACCTTGAAATATTCATGCGATACCATAAACCGGTACCACTTCCCGAGCAATTACTTTTGGAATCCTACCAAGGATCTATTCCTTCTCTGGATTTCGTGTCATGACTGGTTTCTAACGGTACCTTAAGAAACGAAATGGTTAACATTTTGTATTATACAAGAAAATTAATGTTATAACGACGTTTCTTAAGTGGCTATTAAACATTATTGTTTAAAATTTAGAACAAAATAATAAATTTTTAATAAATAACCTAATTAAAAATGGTGAATAAAAAACTAAGCCAAAAAGATAGTTTATTGTATGTCAAGTTTACAAAAGGCGTTGTAGTGAACGGATATCAATCATCAATCTGGGTTAAGTTGGATGGAAAAGCGTGCATAATTGTTGTTGGCGAGTATTGTCAGGGAGTAATTGTCCAAAGACCGCCCGCGTATTTTCTAATCTGCACCATTCTCGTTGTTCTACCGGAGAGTATCTTTGTGCCGGCGCGTGAACCGTGTCGCGCAGACGACGGACTATTTTCTAAGGAAATCTTAATTTTCGCCGGGTTTTCAGGATCTCACCCAATTTCTCTTCAAGTTAAAAAAGTTTTAAACTTTTTTCTTTTCCCCGTCCAATTTAACAAGTAATAACTTGTGTGTAATTGGCTATTTTTTTTCTAGTGCAAGTTGTAAATTTGTTTAGAAGTGAAATTTCTCTTGTTTTATCTTGTTTGTGTAGTTTATGGAGTAATTAACCTAAAAATTTTTGCTTTTAACAAATTCTTTTCATTTTAATTTAATAATCTCCTTTTTTTTCAAAGAAACTTAATCTTTGGATATTTTTGCTAAAAATTATTAGAAATTGCTGTAGACTATAGATTTCCAATTTCCTTCCCTCTTCAGCCCACAGCCCGATCCTATGTTTGGCTATCGCAAATTATATACCAACTACTGGCTCTGGCTCCACAAACGCTTTAGCGCTTCCCTCTCATACTAGCTCATCTCAGATCAGAGAAACTCTGTTATCACAACTCAGCCTTATTCCTGTAGCCCCTGGAAAGCGGCTTGACTGGCTGAGAAAAATCGTACTGTCATGTTCTTCACCACTCTCTCAAGAAGGATTTTAGCACCCATGTCAATAGCAAATACTTCTGCCTGTAAACATACTTCCTGTACGTACTGTATGTGATTATAGGTCTAACCACAGTCATATAGAGCCAATACCATCTTTCAGGGGTAAGACCTTAATTTTTTCCACAATGATTACAAGTCATTTTACAACTAAGTTAACCAATTTCAAAATATTAAATTTTGTTTTCCAAAATTCTTGAAGGTGATTGATTTTTCTTATCATTATATAGAATCGTTCTCATCTGGTATAGTCTAAAAGCTTATTGGAATTACTACTTGTGATATCATTTAGTTCTCCTAGTTCTTTCTTAAACAGATTACTCTTTTCAAAAATGTCTAACTGCTCTCTGCGTGGTAAAGATTCCAATTTGAATGTTTCTTCTTTTCCACACACTTTTCATACAGAGTTGAAACTGAGACAAAAACCTCCTGGTGAGAAAGGAAAACCACAGTTTAATTTAAAATGTTGATTTTTGGTTTAAATTATTAACTATAATATTGATTTATGATCCTTTTTACATCAGCATTATCTCAAACTGAAAACACACCTTGTATATTAGCATATTTAACGATTAAAATGATTAAAACTTAGTTATTAAACAGATTGGACGGATTTTTAAATTTAGAGGTTATGTTTAAAACGATGTGTCAACGAAATGTCAAATTTGACAGATGAATTTGTTATTAAATATTAATTTATTGATAGTTTTTACATCGTTTTTCTCCATGTGGCATTGAAAATGTTGAAGAGTGTGTTTTATTTAATTTATATGCGGTGTTGTTACAATTTCCAAGTAGGATTTCAAATATTGTAAAATGTGACTTGACAGCTTCAAATTATTGACAGCTATGATAAATTACTGTGTAAGTAAATGTAAATGATTGATTTTTCTTATTTTAAAATTATATAGAATCGTTCTCATCTGGTATAGTCCGAAAGTTTATCGAAATTAGTACTTGTGATATCATTTAGTTCTCCTGGTTCTTTCTTAAACAGATAACTCTTTTCGAAAACGTCTCACATCTAACTGCTCACTGCGTGGTGTAGATTCCAATTTGAATGTTTCTTCTTTTCGTACACAGTTGGAACTGAGCCAAAAACCTCCTGGTGAGAAAGGAAAACCACAGTTTTAGTTTAAAATGTTGATTTTTGGTTTAAATTATTAAATATAATATTGATTTATGATCCTTTTTACATCAGCATTATCTCAAACTGAAAAGACACCTCATATATTAGCATATTTAACTTAGTTATTAAACAGATTGGACGGATTTTTAAATTTAGAGGTTATGTTTAAAACGATGTGTCAACGAAATGTCAAATTTAACAGATGAATTTGTTATTAAATATTAATTTATTGATAGTTTTTACATCGTTTTTCTCCATGTGGCATTGAAAATGTTGAAGAGTGTGTTTTATTTAATTTATATGCGGTGTTGTTACAATTTCCAAGTAGGATTTCAAATATTGTAAAATGTGACTCGACAGCTTCAAATTATTGACAGCTATGATAAATTACTGTGTAAGTAAATGTAAATGATTGATTTTTCTTATTTTAAAATTATATAGAATCGTTCTCATCTGGTATAGTCCGAAAGTTTATCGAAATTAGTACTTGTGATATCATTTAGTTCTGGTTCTTTCTTAAACAGATAACTCTTTTCGAAAACGTCTCACATCTAACAGCTCACTGCATGGTGTAGATTCCAATTTGAATGTTTCTTCTTTTCGTACACAGTTGGAACTGAGCCAAAAACCTGCTGGTGAGAAAGGAAACCCACAGTTTCAGTTTAAAATGTTGATTTTTGGTTTAAATTATTAAATATAATTTTGATTTATGATCCTTTTTACATCAGCATTATCTCAAACTGAAAAGACACCTTATATATTAGCATATTTAACGATTAAAATGATTAAAACTTAGTTATTAAACAGATTGAACGGATTTTTAAATTTAGAGGTTATGTTTAAAACGATGTGTCAACGAAATGTCAAATTTGATAGATGGACTTATTAAATATTAATTTATTGATAGTTTTTACATCATTTTTCTACATGTAGCATTGAAAATGTTGCAGAGTGTGTTTTATTTAATTTATATGCGGTGTTCTTACAATTTCCAAGTAGGATTTCAAATATTGTAAAATGTGACTTGACAGCTTCAAATTATTGATAGCTATGATAAATTACTGTGTAAGTATATGTAAATGATTGATTTTTCTTATTTTAAAATTATATAGAATCGTTCTCATCTGTTATTGTCCAAAAGTTTATCGAAATTAGTACTTGTGATATCATTTAGTTCTCCTGGTTCTTTCTTAAACAGATAACTCTTTTCGAAAACGACTCACACCTAACTGCTCTCCGCGTGGTGTAGATTCCAATTTGAATGTTTCTTCTTTTCGTACACAGTTGGAACTGAGCCAAAAACCTCCTGGTGAGAAAGGAAACCCACAGTTTCAGTTTAAAATGTTGATTTTTGGTTTAAATTATTAAATCTAATATTGATTTATGATCCTTTCTACATCAGCGTTATCTCAAACTGAAAAGACACCTTGTATATTAGCATATTTAACGATTAAAATGATTAAAACTTAGTTATTAAACAGATTGGACGGATTTTAAAATTTAGAGGTTATGTTTAAAACGATATGTCACCGAAATGTCAAATTTGACAGATGAATTTATTATTAAATATTAATTTATTGATAGTTTTTAGATCATTTTTCTACATGTAACATTAAAAATGTTGAAGAGTGTGTTTTATTTTATTTATATGCAGTGTTGTTACAATTTCCAAGTTGGATTTTAAATATTACAAAAAAAATGTGACATTTTATTTGACAGCTTCAAAATATTTATGATTTAATTAATTATTAAATGATTATGATTTATTAAATGATGGGAACCATCATCTGTGGGGTTTAATAGATATTGTAAAGATTTCTTTTATCAAATACAGAAGAATTTTTAGCTTACCATGTGTAAACATGAAAACAGTGTTCGTAGAAGCAAATGTGATTATATTTCAGTCTCATTGCCTTGGACGTTTGCTATATGTACTTCCGAATGGACTGAAGAAACTAGGCACTTTATCAATCATGGAAAGCATGAATGATTTGAAGTTTGCTTGTGGCAATGAAAGTTGTGCCGTTAATGTCCATTGAGTATAATCTAAGAAGGTCCTAAAGTAGCTGACACAACAAGAATTTTCACAAAACGCTGAAACCATATTCTATTTATCTGGGTTATCATAAATTACTGTGGAAGTAAATGTAAATGTACAATTTTCTTTCTTCTTACTTAAAAATTTATTTTACTTCAAGGTACATCATCGAGACATCTTTTACACAAATACATTTTTTTTGTAACTTATACAAAAATAAATCGCGTCATTATCACATGAGTTCCAAAGGATTTCATCATCAATTATATTTTATTTATAATTTTTATTTAACATTTTTAATTATTATTTTTTAATTTTGTACAGGCATTGCAACAGATTGTTTCGTAACCGCTTTTCCTTTTCTCCATAACGAAGTAATCGTTTTCGTTTGCGTATAGAAATTAAGCCCTTGTTTTCCATAGAAATGAAGATCCCCGACGAAACTTCCCCGCGATCCGGTGAAACTAAACATCGGCAAAGGAACGGGAATTGGAACGTTCACTCCAACTTGGCCCACATCGATTTCGTTAACGAATTGTCTTGCGTAGTTTCCGTTGGTGGTAAAAATAGCGGTTCCGTTACCGTAAGGGTTTTTATTAATGATTTCGATTGCTTCTTCCATGGTGCTTGCGTTCATCACGCAAAGAACTGGGCCGAAAATTTCTTCTTTATAACATTCTTGGGTTGGGAGAACGTTTGTTAATAGGGTTGGGCCAACAAAATTGCCGTTTGGATAACCGGGTACTTTAACGTTTCTGCCATCTAATGGACATTGAGCACCTTGCTTAATTCCAGATTCGATTAAATATTCGATTCGTTTTTTGGATTCTCTTGAAATAACCGGCCCAACGTCGGTTCCTGGTTCGTGTCCAGCGCTAACTTTTAATTGTTTAGCTTTTTCAACTAAATCCGGGATCCATTTTTGTGCTTCTCCGACCATTATGGCTACACTCAAAGCCATGCAGCGTTGACCGGCGGCTCCAAAAGAAGCACCGGCTAATTGATTGATTGTTTCTTCTTTATTAGCGTCTGGTAATATAATCGCGTGGTTTTTCGCGCCTAAATTAGATTGTACTCTTTTTCCATTCGCGGCTCCTCTTGCGTAAATGTATTTTCCAGCTTTATCGGACCCAACGAAACTTATTGCTTTGATATCTTTGTTATCGCAAATAAAATTGACGGCATCATGCGAGCCGTGAATTACGTTAACAACTCCTGGTGGGCAACCGACTTCGTTTAGGAGTTCCATAAGCATCATTGTTGCGCCTGGATCTTTTTCTGATGGTTTAATCACCATTGTGTTTCCGGCGATTAAGGCCATGGGGAACATCCATAATGGAATCATAGCGGGGAAGTTGAATGGGCAAATTCCAGCTGTTACACCTAACGGGAGCTTATAAGAAACGACATCCATGTCTTTTGCGATGTTTTGAAGTGATTCTCCTTGGAGGAGGGTTCCCGCTGAACAAGCGTGCTCAACAACCTCTAAAAAGATATTTGGGAATTAAAAGATATTAAAAAAAATTGATCTAAATTTACGTAATCCTCTCATAACATCGCCTTCGGCATCAACCAAAGTTTTTCCTTGCTCTAAAGTTACATTAGCCGCAATTTTTTTCAAATCCCTTCTAATAACAGCTTGTAATTTTAACATTAATTGTTGGCGAGTTAAAACGGAAGTTTGTCTCCACGAGTGATAAGCTTTTTTTGAAGATTCAACGGCTTCTTCCATTTCAGCTTGAGTCGATTGAGGTACTTTCGTGACCAAATTGTTTGTGGCTGGGTCATAAAGGTCAATCCAATTGGTGGCTTTTGAATCGCGAAATCCTCCATCGATGAACAGTTTAGTCGTTGGGGCTACGTTTGAGTAATTTCTTAGTAACGATGATAAAATTACCTAAAATTAAAATCATAAATGATTAATCACTTCATGGGTGGTCGAAATTATCTCGAATTAAGTAAAATAAGATAAGAGTAAAATAATTTATGAAGGTCGTTTTATAATTGAAATGTTTAACGGTGTTTTTGATGCCCAAAATTAAATTTAACAATGAGATTACATAAGAGTTTTGTTTAAATATGGTCTTATCTAAATCGTTTTGAAATTGTATTAATGAAAAGTTTAAATAGAGTTGGATTAAATTGACGCGCATTAAAGTTCGTTTAAAAGTCATTGTTTAATAAATTTAAATAACTTAACTTAGAATGAAACTAAATTTTTCTAGAAAATAAGAGTGAACTCTCGAAAATCATACGAGCGATTCAAGGTCAAAGAAAAATATTTTTAACTCAACCCACCACGTGGTTTTCCATCTATAAAACAGGCATCGACTAAATCAACATAAATATCTCATTGAATATCTTTCAAAATTTTCCATTTTAAAGTATTTTTTTTAAAGTGTTTCATTAAGATCATCATAGAGTTGTTAAGATTTTAAGAAATTTTCAAAATTACTTACAGATTTTCTTGTAGCCGATAACATTTTGCTTGATTTTTAACCGTTTCAGGCACAAACGCGATCTGACCGTGAGTGAAAAATGTGAATGATATCGTAGACCCCTACTTTATTGTAGTTGAAACGCGTGTTAATTTACCGTTATCTACGACGAATTGCGGCTTAAGTTACTCGTTGTTGGTGAATTAGAAAAATACCCGCCGGAGATTCTTCTGTGTTAGTTATAAAGAGACTTCTAATTTCGTTTAGAGACTTTACAGCATTTAAACCTATGGACTTCGAAACACACTTTGGGTATTTATAAATTTTTGGATACAGAAACCAAAAATGTTTTCTTATGTAGGTATGCGACGGTGTGGAAAGAACCTTAACATGAAAAAATAAGATTCTTTTGGTGGGAGAGCCTTAAGGTGAACTAAAAAGATCAGGTGATAATCTTACTAAAAGATTTTTGGTTGGTCTTTTCTAATCGAGTTCAAATTAGAAAGTTTTTTTCTTAAAGATCTATCTTTAGATTTAAGAAAAAATGTATACAAATCATTAAATGGGAGAAAATATTTGCTTAAACGATTAGTTTATTGCTAAAACGATAAAGTTGTAAATCAAGATTAAAATAACGTTGTAAATAAAATAGACAGGCAATCAACTTTACAGGTCGTATTTTAAAGTTGCTTGAATTGGTTTTCAAGATTTTGGTTTTGACACAATTCATTGGTTCTTCAATCTTTTAAGTATATTAGGCTTAATATACAACTATTATGACTTTAGTTGAATTAATTGCAAAATGAATTTATTTCTCAAGAACTAAAAGTGATTATCGATGAAAATTGTAACATCGAAAATTTTATCAAAACTTCAAATATTGTTTTCTCAAAAACTAAAAGTTATTTTTTAGTACGGGTTGGTTCATTGGAAAGAGGACACTTTTATTAACACTTTGGGAAATTTTCATACTCATATTCCAAGAAATGGATTTTATACGAATTTTTAAAATTTAATCGGCAAAAATTGCAAAATTCGAAAAAATTGTCGATTACTTCAAAACTTTATTTCTCAAGAACTAAAAGTGATTTTTCAAAACGGCTTTTTGCATTAAAAAGAGGATGCTTTAATTAATAATTGGTGATATTTCCACAAGGTTCCTTCAAGAAGCGAATTTTATAGCGAATTTTGAAAATTATCGATGAAAATTGCAACATCGAAAATTTTATTAAAACTTCAAATATTGTTTTCTCAAAAACTAAAAGATATTTTTCAAAACGGGTTAGTTCATTGAAAAGAGAATATTTTTATTAACACTTTGGGAAATTTTCATACGCATATTCCAAGAAATGGATTTTATACGAATTTTTAAAATTTAATCGGCGATAATTGCAAAATTCGAAAAAATTGTCGATCATTTCAAAAATTTATTTCTCAAAAACTAAAAGTGATTTTTCAAAACGACTTTTTGCATTAAAAAGAGGATACTTTAATTAATAATTGGTGATATTTCCACAAGGATCCTTCAAAAAATTAATTTTATAGCGAATTTTGAAACTTATTGATGAAAATTGCAACATCCAAAATTTTATCAAAACTTCCAATATTGCTTTCTCAAAAACTAAAAGTTTTTTTTCAAAACGGGTTAGTTCATTGGGAAGAGGACACTTTTATTAACACTTTGGGAAATTTTCATACGCATACTCCAACAAATGGATTTTATACGAATTTTTAAAACTTAATCGGCAAAAATTACAAAATTCGAAAAAATTGTCGATTATTTCAAAAATTTATTTCTCAAGAACAAAAAGAAATTTTTCAAAACGGTTTGTTGCATTAAAAAGAGGATACTTTAATTAATAATTGGTGATATTTCCACAAGGATCCTTCAAAAAATTAATTTTATAGCGAATTTTGAAACTTATTGATGAAAATTGCAACATCCAAAATTTTATCAAAACTTCCAATATTGCTTTCTCCAAAAACTAAAAGTTTTTTTTCAAAACGGGTTAGTTCATTGGGAAGAGGACACTTTTATTAACACTTTGGGAAATTTTCATACTCATATTCCAAGAAATGGATTTTATACGAATTTTAAAAAATGAATCGTCGAAAATTGCTATCCAGTATCCGGCCGGATTCACCAACTACTTTATAGACATTACCTCTTTTATTTAACTCCACAATCAACTTGTCCAAAGCTTGTGAGTGATCTTCCTAATTAACAACTTTATTTTATATAAAATGATTGATATAAAGGAGCTAAAGACATGGTAAATCAATTCTTCAAAGAAAATCTTTATTTTCAAAATAGAAAAACCTCAAACCTATACAATACGTACTTTTGATTTAACTACGTTAACCACAATTTAATAAATAATCTACTGATTAAAGTTTTAGTTATAATCAAGAGTACATAATTTAAATTTCTTTTTAATAATTTATTATTTCAAATTAAAGCTACAGACTAGTTCTACGATAACAAATTTAAACTAAAATCGATTAAGAGAAAAATAATTTGGCAAAAAATATTATTAAAAAACGTTTCTTACAATTTACCAACTTTCTTTCTAAACCTCAAATTTTTTCCGATTTTTACCCCGTTCTTTTTAAAGATTTCCCTTTTTCTTCGTAATTTTAAACTTCTCGGTCCGTGTTCAGGGACGGCAACCGGAGTAACTTCTTGTACTTGAATTTCTTTAGGAATATTACCCACAACGTATTGTTGATCACTCGTTGAATAAGTAGCTTCAACATTTTTAGCGATAACATCTTTGTTGAATGTAATCGGTTCATTTTTATGCACTTCATTCGTTTGGTACGATTCTTGCAAATAATTTCCATCATGTTTATAATCTTTTAATGGATCTAATTGGACCTTTTCAACCGTCACTTGTGGATTATAATAATTATCAGAGTAACGATATCGATTTGAATGAGTTTGTTTCGAAGCTGGTTGGTAATTTTGACGATTTTGAATGTTTTCATTTTGATAATTATTTTTGTTGTAATCATAAAAAGGCATTCCAGCGATGACTTTTCCAATCGCTTCTTCTTCTGGAACTCCACCAGAATACTCATTTTCATAGTAATAATTATTCCCTTTATCTTTTCTATCAATATCATAAGATCTTCTTAATGTACCAAATGGGTATAAGAAATAACTTGCTAAACCAGCAGTAACTACTAATCCAACTAATCCCACACCAACCGTAGGCATAACCTCTCTAGCTAAATAATTATAAATTTGTGTACTTATTGGTTTCTCTTTAGTTGCTATTTTAGTTTTATTCTCTTTGTTACCATCAATTTTTTCTTCAGCATTTGGACGACGAGTTCTATTTTTATTTTTCTTCTTTTTCTGTGATGGTCTTCGATTCTTTTTTGTATTTGGAGTTGATGATGGTAATTCTAATTCGCCGTCTTTTAATTCAGGTTTTAAATTTAATGTGCTTATTGTTGTAGCTGATTCTGTTGTTGATGCATTATTTTCTTTTAATGTTAAAACTTTTTCATTTGAAATAACTTTTTGAGTAGAATTATTTATTTTTTCACTCACACTACTTGTTACTTTAATTGTTGAACTTTCTTTTATAGCTGGTTCAGTTTTATTATGTTTTGTAATCGAACCTTTGATTTTATTAATTTTTGTAACAATTTCTCCAAGAGTAGAAACACTTTTTTGAGTTGTACTTTTCTCTACATCTTTAATCCCCACAATTTTTTGGGTTGTTGTTGACGTGGATGTAGATGTAACTAATTGATTATTAGTTGGTTTCTTTTTAAATCCCGGTTTAGCACCTCTATTTGGATTCGCAATTGCGACATTTTTAGTTTCGTTTTTATTATTTGGTGTTTTTATCGGCTTTTGTGTCGAAGAAGTCTGCCCACTTAAAAGAATCCAAGTTGATAATCCACTATCCGTAGTTGATTTTGATTCAAGTTTATAAAAATTCATCTTTTTAGAATCATCCAAGATTGATTCCTCATCAACGGGTTCTGCAACACCTGGATGGGAATTTTCTATCGATTGATGATGTTTTTGTTCTACTTTTTTCATCATTTGCTTTATTTTTGGCGGTGTTCTTACGTCTAAAACATCTGTTATGTTTGTTGGTGGTGGAAGAAACTTATTTGGTGTTGGTGTTGTTGTGTTTATGGTGATTGCAGATGTTAACCTAAAACAATTAAAAAGAAATTAGTATTTTAAAACATACATTTCTGCTTTCTTTGTTTGCCAAGGTTGCCATTTTCAATTTGAAACCCTCAAAACTGACAAATAATTGATGAAATAATTCTCATTAACCTTAAATTATTGCTTCATTGCTTTTTTAAAGGTAGTAGGAAATAGAACAACTTTATTGGTGTATGTCAAAACGATTCAAATCAATTAAAAAAACTTCCAGATTTATTGACAAAGTTAAAAAATCTTAATGGAGATGCTTTCCAGAAACTTCCAATATTTTGGAATATAAGAAAAGCTGATTGGTATGATTCAAAATAGTTCCGATGTTCCGAGTCGCCAGATCTTATCATTTGTGACCACTCTGGAAATAAAATCGAAAGTTTTCGACACTCGTCCATTATTAATGCAAGAGTAGAAAGTATTTCTTTTGTTAGGACCTTATTATACGTTTGCAGACTCATTAAATAGCTAACCAAAGCTCAATGGGTATCCCGAGCATCACAGTACTTTGGCTATCAGGGTTTGTTGCCAATCCAGGTTAACTTGAGTACGAGAAGCTAAGCAACCTAAGTATAAAATAGTATAACAATAGTGTGCAGAAATCACATTGCGTCAAAACTCATCGTAAGCAATAATTACCACGTTTTGGATTCTAGATATAGTTTTAACATTTTTAATTAAGGTGGGCCATCAACAGTTTCTGCCTAAAACCCTCCCTAAAACCTGCCCTTTTACAATGGGACTTAGAGGATTTAGTACCTCACCTAGTGGAAATCTTCCAGGCATGCCTGGCGCTGCGCTATATATCCATTTCACATCGAAATCGTTTAGACCAATCAGTCTCTCCTCTTTTCTTTTAAAAACTTTAGAAAGACTGTGAGATCGCTACATTAGAGATTTCTGTCTTCCAACTAAACCAGTAAATCCTAATCAACACGCTTACACTCAGGGCAAGTCCACACTAACGGCTCTTCACTCAGTTACCAGCTTTGTTGGTGGAGCACTGGACCTAAAGGAGTCCGTCCTGGGTGTTTTCATAGATATAGAGGGAGCTTTTGATAAAACAATATTCTGTGGTATTAATGATGCCTTGTTAAAGCATAATATTCTACCGACGCTTTGTGGTTGGATTGAGAACACTCTCAAACATAGGATAGTTAAGCTTAGGGCTGGCGATGTCGGTCTTCAAGGAGAAGTTGGTTACGCAGATGATTTAACCATTCTCGTCAAAGGCAAGTACATAAACGTGCTTTTTGATAGAATGCAAGTAGCTCTCAAATTGATAGAGACTTGGTGTGACGAACAAAGACTCTCTGTGAATGATGAGGAAGTTTGGCAAGCCCAGAATGCCATCCCTTGCTAATACTCCATTGGTGCTGTCAAAAGAAGTCAAATATGTAGGCATCACACTTGACAATAAAATGACATGGAGAGCCCACCTAGATAATAGAGTAAAAAGAGCGTACGTTGCATTCGGTCAATGCCAGAGGGCTATAGGTAAGACACGGCGGTGGATTTACACGGCTATAATCCGACCTATGCTTACATATGGTGCAGTAGTATGGTGGTCAAAGACCTTACAGTCTACATCCACTGCTGCGCTTAATAACACAGTGGATGCTTTTGGATTACCCCCACTGCAGTCATGGAAAAAATGTTGAACCTAACGCCACTTCATTTGTTCATCCAAGAGGTAGCACTGGTGACCATGATTCGACTACGAGTAGCAGGAATTCTAATGGGTGAGAGATACAGTAAAAATGCCATTCTCTGGAATGAAATGGTGGACTACTCACCAATTCTGGAATGTATAACGGACTTCACACCCCTACAACACATTTTTACGAAGAAATATCTCACCCAGCCAAGTTCCACAGAAGTAGAGGTAAAAACAGCCTTAAAACCTACACTGATGGTTAAGGAAGTATTACATTATCCCTCAGCAGAGGCAGCCTTGTCTTTCGTAAGGCTTGGTAGAAACGCTCTACGAACTGTAACGGGATTCGTCACCGGTCACTGTAAGGTAAACAAGCATCTTTATAACCTTAAGCTTGTTAGTCCTCTCTGTCGCCTCTGTGGAGAGAGGGAGGAGACGATTCGACACATCTTGTGTGAATGCCCCACTCTGCAAGACCTCAGAATGAGAGACTTCGAAGAGGGTCGGATGTTACCGGGTGCTTATAAGAAACAACATCTATGTCTCTTGCAATGTTTTGAAGTGATTCTCCTTGGAGGAGGTTCCAGCAGAACAAGCATGCTCAACGACCTCTAAAAAGAGATTTGGAAATTAAAAGATATTAAAAAATAATAATTTAAATTTACGTTATCTTCTCATAACATCGCCTTCAGCATCAACCAAAATTTTGGCATGATGGAATATGGAATAAATATTTGAAACCTGAGAACTGCCCGCGTAGCAATACAGAGAAGACCATGATAATTCAGAGTCGCCAGATCTTATCATTATGACCACCATGTAATAAAATCAAAAATTTTCGAAACTCGTCCATTATTAATGCAAGAGTTGAAAGTATTTCTTTTGTTAGGACCTTATTATACGTTTGCAGACTCATTAAATGGCTAACCAAAGCTCAATGGGTTTCCCGGTGTCGGTTTCTTAACTTCTGGTGATTTACTAAATATTCCCAGAGTTCGGAAATATTTCGGCAAGACTATTTCTGATGTATCTCAAGCATTACAGTTGCTGTTACTTTGACTATCTGGGTTTCTTGTCAATCTAGCTTTAATGTAAGCTCCTAACCCAATTCATTGGAACCTGAGTTATCAAAACAGGTATACTACTAGAAGATAAGACTTGAGTATGAAAAGCTAAGCAACCTAAGTGTGAAATAGTATAACAATAGTATGCAGAAATCACATTGCGTGAAAACTCATTATCAGCAATAATTACCACGTTTTGGATTCTGGATATAGTCGAGTTACTTTAACGGTGATGATTCTTCCCGTTTATTTCTTTAAATGAGCACGATAAATCAATGGCCCTATTTAGTTTGCCAAAGGATTTTGATCCAATAACTTCATTTTATGCAGTACAACATTTTATCCAAGTATTTGCTTACTATTTATACTGTTTGCAAGACTTGGTTCAAATTTTGCAAATAAAGAAGTTCCTTCTGTTGGCTCATATACACATCCTAGCAGCTAAATCATCTAGCAGACTTCTTCTTGCCTCACCAACATTGCGTAAGATTATCATCGCAATTAAACGATCTCTATAATGGTGCTATCAGCTGTCTTAATGTTATGAGTTGAATATTATTCTTTTTTTAATGAAATAATTCTTTTCACTGCTCCAGTAAAGCTCAAAAAATCTTCCAATACGCAACGGGAACAATATTTTGGCATTTACACGCTGATAATTGAGTATTTCCTCGCAAAGCATATGAGGAAGGCCTCGGTGATATTCGTGAAAGGCCACAAAATGATTTGAACGATTGCACCACTGGAATGAAGGAAACCTCTCGTAATATGTATTTATACATCTAACCATGATCGGCATTAAACGATTTTCTTAGCCAGAATATGATTTAACATTGTTATTGGACATTGAGAAATAATGATCTGTACTAATGAAAACATGGACATAATTTATGATGACCAACAACTAGATGGTTTTTATCCATGGAACTCAACTTATTTGCTTGAATTTAGCATTATGTTGCACACAATACATCACTCACCGTCAAATTAGATGCATCAGTATGTAAAGACAGAATTAGAAAGATTGGAAATTGGCACTATTTTTGCTTTTATTAAAATGGCATGAAGACCATTGCCATCAAAAACATAACCGAAATAACTTTTATCCAAATTCAAACTAATGGTGCTTTGCTAAAATTTCAAAATCTTACATCATTATATTAATACAACATAGCTAAGCAGATTCGAGTACCATGTACCCTCATTAGCATTTTAGCACCAGTAGTGGATATTAGAAGATGAAATCTAAATTTTAAGCAAATAGATAATTCCACAGAATCTTAACATTGTTTTCTCTGTGGATGCAGCAGATGTATCTCCTTTAAAGAAGTAACTTTTCCAGACAGAGGTGATGCAAAATGTTTAACTGAAAAGTGTAAAATCTATAAGAGATATAAAAGAGTTTCTAATAAAAGGATAAGAAAAAACACAAAAAGAAATTGTTTTATTGAAAACATATTTATTTAACATACAATAAATTATTCACACTAAAAATAAATAAAAAAAATAAATAAATAAACCCTCTTCTCATCATTCATTAAATCGCACTCACACTATTTACATAAAAAAAAAGATATCAATTATTTTGTATCTTATTTACAAAGAGGTATTTAAATGTTAAATCACGTTTTGAGGTTGGATAAAATAAAATTTGATTTATTTTCGATATTTTTTTTCAAAATCATCTAATAATCTCGGAATATTAATCGGAACTTTTTTCGGGTGCATATAATCGACAACGTTTTCATAAGTTTTCGTGTATTGATTATAAAACCACCCGTTATTATGATGAACAACTTTAACCGGATACTTATGATTAATAATTTCAGGTTTTCCAGCGTCTCGGTTTAAATACCCGTACAAAGCGAGGGCTGGGACAATGATAAACCATTTAATTTTGATCAAAACTATGATAAAACCTAAACCAAACGATAAACTAGCTGGGACTAGGTATAAATAAGGATTGGCTAAAAAACCAAAAATTCCTCTTAAACCATTCCATAAAGCTCCTAGAATATCCATCAGACCTTTCAAATCTGGTAAAGATAAATTTGGAAATTCTGGAAGCATAGGAAGACCACCTCCTAAAGGATTACTTCCTTGAGAACTTGTTGTAGCTGGTGAAGCAGCTGGTGCTTGAGCTGGTGCAGCTGGAGCAGCGGCTGGTGCAGCTGCTGTATCAGCTACAGGTTCAGCAGCAACTTCATCAGCTACAACTCCTTCATCAACAGGATCCTCACCAATAGGATCTTCCGGTCTACGATTCGGAGATGAATTTTGCGACAATTGAGAATTAATAACAACGTTTAAATCGGGACATTCTTGTCGTTGAGGATTATATAAATTGCTAGTAATTTGAAATTGAGGGCAATCATTGGGAAGTTGCAACTTTGAGTCTGACGATGAACCCGAAGGGTTTATTGGAAGAGATTGAATGACCACTTGGCTTATTGGAACTCCAAACGGGTTCGAATTAGGTGACAAAGAGTTTAAAATCGAAGGATTTTCATCCGAAGATATCGAAAATGGAGGGGAATATGTTGAGATCTCTGGGTTAATTTGAAAATCGTCTTGATAAGAAGATGTTGATGATAAATATTCGGGCGAATATGTGCTGATAACCGGGATTATTTCCGATTCTTGTTTATTCGCGGGTTTAATTCTAAATTTAGTGTAATTTTTATAATGAGTGTTTTTAAGCTTTTCCGTGGAAAGTTTGATGGGATTTGGTCGAATAACAATTTTTTTCTTTGTAGTGTTCGTGAAATTCTTTTTATTTACGTTTTCGACCACAACTTTCAACGGCTTTGGACTAATTATTTTTTTAACACCACTTTTCGTTACTTTTCTTATTATGGCTGGTTTATTAGTGGTCGTTCCCAGTTTTAATTGAAAATGATTCTCGTTATTACCTTTATGGACCACGAAATCAATCTTTTTTTTAATGTTATTTGGAAATTTACGCGAAACCTCAATTTCTTTACTTTCAGTGTTTTTAGTATCATAAATTATATCTAATCCTAAATTTTCGATAGCTGTATACCTTGGTGTTGTAGTTGATGTACTTTTTATATCCACGGAGGAAACTGTTAAAAAACAGCTTATTGTTATGAGGAGATATGGCCATAATGTTGAAGTTGATCCCTGCATTTTTTGATCTGAAACAAATTAAGTTTTTATAAAACAATATAACAATCTGATTATAGAGCTAATCAAACATGCTACTACCATGAAAGCCATGGAAATAATATGCATGATATTTAACAAATGTCTTAGAGGATGACATTCCACTATATTGGAGAAAGTCCTAAATAATTCTCATATACAAGAAAGGAAATAGGAAGGAGTGCGGGAATTGAAGAGGGTTGGGTTGGAAGAGTCCTGAAAACTAGGATAGAAATGGAAATTAAGGAGGGAAAGGAACAAAGTGGTTTCAGACATGGAAGATCTTGCATATCTTTACGTTTCGACACCTAGTTGAGAAGAAGCTGTCAAAAGGAATTTGAGAAAAGCGTTCGATATGGCAAAATTATGATTTTCCCTGACAGATGCTGGCATCAACAGAACTTATATCCATGCTGTGAAAGCGTTATACAGAGATAACACGGCTGAGGTTCAGGTAGGAAAACTCTTTAGAAGACTTTAGAAAAAAGGATTGGTGATTTCTGTTCAATATTTTGGAGACAAGCATATTGGGATTTAAATTTTGTCCAGCGATAGTTTTTACTGTATTTACTGCAACCTTGGACAAATAACTATAGAATAAAACAATGTTACGATAAATTATTTATTTTTTCTATATTATGCATAGCACAATTGTATAACACCTAGTAAATAATACATACTAATTAGTTACTTATTGTTAACACCAAATTAAACTAGATAATGTTTTGCAGCTTTTTTCCCAGTGGTCCAGTCTGCTTTGCCCATAATATAGATTAAATATTGTCATATTTTTACCCTTGTAAGACCAAAACACAAAAACGCGTATTATTGTTTTTGTTATAATTCCGCACTATTGCTCGTGTTTCAATCGACTAAGGCACCAGGTCACTAAATCGAACGGCTTCATCCACTGAAGACGACGCAAAACATCCTTGTTGTCTGTCCAATTTGGCCAACATAATATTTGATCTCCCTTTAATGGGGTTAGCTGTCGGAAGAACGTTCTGAATTCCACGATATCATTCGTAGGACTCCACGGACGGTGTAATGCAAATAAAACTAGAATCTTCCGGGTTAAGCTTAGTATCTTGGTCTTATGAAAATCTATGATGTGTCCCTTGTTGTAGCATTGCTGTGCGACTTCTTATGCTCTGTCCAATTTGGCCAACGTAATACTTCCTGCAACTACATAATAGTTGATTTCCCTTTAGCTATCAGAAGAACGTTCTGAATTCCACGATATCATTCATAGATCTCCACGGACGGTGTAATGGAAATAAAATTAAAACTAAAAACTTCCGGATTAAGCTTAGCATCTTGGTCTTATGGAAATCTATGATGTGTCCCTTTTTGTAGCATTGCTGTGCGACTTCTTATGCTCTGTACAATTTGGCCAACGTAATATTTCCTGCAACTACATAATAGTTGATCTCCCTTTAATGGGGTTAGTTTGCCTTTAGCTATCGGAAGAACGTTCTGAATTCCACAATATCATTCGTAGGATTCCACGGACGGTGTAATGGAAATAAAACTAAAACTAGAAACTTCCGGGTGTTATGTAATGGTAAATCATAATTTTTAAGACTCGAATTTCTTAAACTGTTTGTTATGGTTTCTTTAGAATTCACATCCAGCCTTCTCCATGATTATTCTGTTTATTTGGTTCCAGTCAACTCTAGCGATAGAATTGGAATGTGCGAGATGGAGTCGTAGTAACCTCTGTAAATCTTTGAAAGTTTTGCTAATTCTTTCTCGTATTAGTGCAAGATCTGTCCTAGTATTTTTACTTTCTATATTGTGTATAGCACAATTGTATAACATCTATACTCTGTTTTTAAACCAGGAGGAGTATTTTAAATTTGTCACCAGATTGACTTTGCACGTGATTGGTTGAATGCGAGGAAGGTTCACACACAGGCAATTTTGAATTTTGATTTTGAATTTGAAGGTTAGGTTATTGATAATTCGACAGTTTCGTGTCATTGTTGTAAATTTTGTTTGAACCCTTTTGCGTCTTCAATTTAATTGAGTGAAATCTGTTCTTTTTAGAACAAGGTATGGATCGTGACCCTAATAGTCGTTCACAACAAATTTCACAATAATAAGTAAATAAATAAATAATAATAATTATTAATTTAAATTTACCGCCAAAATATCTAGTGATATTTTCTGGTGATTTTTCCTAGTGTAAATCTGACTTTCGCGTTTACTCCTCCTGGTTTAAAAACAGAGTATA